GAGACCCATAGAAAGGAGTGGGCTGTGAACGTCAGGTGGCACTGGCCTGGCTGGGACATCTCTTCCCTAAGACCAACCAGACTTTTAAAGAGAGGGTGTGACCGTTGTTATCGTCACAGAAGCGGAGGGTCCCTCCCAGCCAAGGTCCTGCCCTGCCCGCACTGCCTGTCCACGTGGCCCGGGACACAGAGACCCTGAGGACCGGGAAGAAAGGCAGTGTCTGGACATGCTCGCATCTGTCTGTGGTGCCTGTGGTTTGGGACAGAAGGGGGCAGGAGGAAACCAGGGGCTGGGGTGGCCGCTCCTGGGCCCGGGTGAAGGCCCCAACTGGCTCTGCCACTCGAGCTGCCATCCTTACTCAGTGGCTCTCTCGTTATTCCAGAGTGCCAACTGGGGGTGGCAGTGGTTTATGTGCTGTTTGTTTAACTGGAACCTTTATTTTTGACAGAGAGAAGAGAAAATGAAAGAAAGGAAAGGCCGGGGGTCATGGGTGTGAACTTGAAAACCAGAGTGGCTTCCCGAGTCTCAAACCCAAGTCCCTGCTAGCGAGCGAGCGGCGCAGGTGCCAGGGCCAGGGCACGAGCAGGGGGGCCGGGCTCCCCGAGGGGCCGCTTCCTACTGCCCTCTGGCACTGCTGCTGACCATCTGTCCCCAGACGACAATGTCCAAGTCCTGTGCCTTGGACACTCGTCTCCCCTTGGAGAAGCATCACACGGGCCACCCTTAAAAAGGAGGGCGTCCTCCCACGCCGGGACTCTCCAAGAGACCCGATGGTGTCTGATGCCAGCAAGCCCATGGAGCGGCCAGGTGAGCCACCTGCATCCAAAGCAGACTCAGCCCACAGGTGGCCTCTCCGCCCCCCAGAGCGCGTCATTAACATCGTGTATTTGTGCCAGTCCCGCCGCGCCCAGGGCGCCCGCGGGGAGTCTGGGGTCGAGGGCCTGACCCAGGGGCGGGGTGGAGGACTGGACGAGGCTGGGGGTGCGCGGGACCGAGAGGCGGGAGGGGGCGGCGCAGGCCGGGGCCCCCACTCCACGACCCCGACCTGGCCCCAGATCCCAGATCCCCAAGTTCTCCGGCCCTGTACCCCAAATCCCCGGGCCACACGCAGCCCCAAGTGCCCAGACCCCTGCGCCCCCACGTCCCCGCGCCCTCCTGGCGGCCTGACCCACCTTGGGCGGCCGCGGCGGCGCCCTCGTCGCCCTGGTTAAACTCGAAGAGGAAATCGAAGTCGAACTCCTGCTCCTCCAGCCCCGTCATGTCGGGGCCGGGGCGGGGGCCGGGGCGGTCCGCGCGGGTCCGGCCCGGGCTCCCTGCGCCGGGCGCTCGGCGGCGCGTCCTCGGCGTAACGTGACCCCCACCCCGCCCTCCCCTCGCCGCCCCGCCGCCCCTCCCGTCCGCGCGCCCCGCCCCCGCCCCGCCCCGCCCCCCCGGCGTTTCGGGTTTACATAAAACAAGCGGCTCGCGGCCGCCGGCTTCCGAGTTTGCGACAAACGCCCCGGAGCCCGCGCGAGCGAGCCGGCCGCCGCCTGGCTCCAGGGGAGCGGCCCCTCCACGGGGACCGGGCGGGCAGACACCGACAGGCCTGCGCCCAGGGCCACGGGATTTGCTTAAAAGTTAAAGAAAATAGTTTTCACCCCGCGGGGCCTCCTCCCCCGGCCGCTGCCCCGTGCGCCGCGCACGTCCCGCCAGGCCCGGCTGAAACCGCGGAGCCTGGCGAGGGGCCGGCTCCCCACCCCGCCCCGCCGCAGGGCGAGAGCTGCACAACTTCAGTAAACTCTGGAAATACCATTTTCCGGCCCACGTTGCTAAAGAGATTACCCGAAGGTGCCAGGAAAATGGAAGGTTTTCCGCGGTCTCCAGAGCTCTGCGCTCTGCACCAAGTGGCTCCGCTGCCCACGGGCCGTCCGGGTTCTCTGCGGCGGACCTGATCTACAGGCCCGGCTTCCCCCGCGGCCGCCCTGTGTCTGCACCTCCCGTCGCTCAGTCCCGGGCTGCGACAGCACATGTGCACACCGCGGTCCGCGGCCGACCCGCCAGTCCTGCGAGCAGTGCCGCGTCCGGCCAGGCGCGCGGGCGGGGGCTGAGCCTCGGTGCCCAGCGGCCACACAGACGGCTGGGCCCCCTGACCCCGCGCCAGCCTTTTCCTGTTTCTCCCAGCTGTTGGCTCCAACTTTCCCCAAGGTCTTGGCACCAGGTAAAACCAACATCTGGGATTCCCTGAGCATCGTGGCCAAGGCCACTCCAAGCGAGGCTGAGGGTTCCGGCGAGGGAGGGAGCCCAGAACTGGAGCGAGGGGGTACAGATGTCAGTGTTGGCCACTGCTGGGATCAGATGTGCCCTCCTTCCTGCCCCAGGGCACTGCCCTTCCAGAAGCGGTGACCTGCGGGCCCCACAGGCTCCTCCTGTGACCCCAGTGATAAACTGTAGTTCTGTTTGGCCTGATTTAGTTTCTAATAATAGTGCTCACTTCGAGATGTATGTTGGAGGGTTGTTTGGTTTTAGTTTGCTGTTTTTGCTGACCTTCGGGCAAATGGAAGTTCTGTTTTCTGTTGAAAACTCAACATTTCATTTTTTCTCTTGTTTTTTTAAAACTTTGGCCACATTTTCACCCCCACCGAAAAATCACACACAAATAACCGCCCTTATCATGTGTTTAGGCTAGAACTTCTTGCTGAACTGCCCCAGAGAGCCTGGGTCTACACCCGCCTCATGCACGCAGGCCGCCAGATTCCTGGGCCTCCTCCGGGAATGGGGGTTCAGGGCTGTTTTGTTGGTGGCGGGGCTGGGCCCCTCCCACTTTCGGTTCCCACCAAGGTAGTCCGATGGGGGTGGCTCAGTACCAAATGTGCGCCTTGCACCTCTTAGGGGCACCTCCGGCACTGGCCTCCTTCCTGTGAGCGGTTTGGAGCTCCCGGTCTAGACTCGAATCTGCCAGTTCAACAAACACTCTGGGTGGGAGCGCTGGGCCGGGCTGCGTCCTCCCAGGGCTGAGGGGACTCTGATGGGACGCAGGGCTCCTGCCAGGGTGTGACAAAGCGGGGTGCCCCAGCCCTGGCAGTTTCTTAATCTGGACTAGGACACAGTGCCACGAAGCTAAGTGGCTGGGAACAGGGCAGCTTTGTTCGTGTGGAGCCCGGGGCTTTCTGTCTGGAGTGGCTGTGGCTGGGTGGCTGCTACCCGCGCCTGTCTCCCCGTTCTCCAGGGCAGCCAGCCCCGGCCTTCCCAACGGTGGCACCCACTGGGCTTCCCCCTTCCCACTGAGCTGGAGGGACAAGCCCAGCAGCGCACACCCAGCCGGGCCACTCAGGAAGGACACGTCTCCCCAGTAGCCCTCAGCAGTGGCAGACATGGACGCGCTCCCCCGCCCCCCAGGCCGGCCTGTCTACACAAAGGATTAGATCATACTTTCTGGTTAGCCCAAGTTTGCAGTCCTTATAAAATATGCCAACGCCGGTTAGCAAAAGGCGCCACTGCCCTGCAGCAGGGCCGTCTTCAAACTTATTTTCCTAACTAGGAAACACTGAAAGGAAAAACCCACCACGCGCATTGCTTTTACCTCTAGAAAGAGATAAGAAGATTCCTCATTACAGGATGGGACACTCACTCTTCAAGTCAAGAAATCCAAACTTTGGAGAACCTCCATTTTTTTATAGCAGTGGTAAAAAATGTGTGGGGAAACAAGTGTCCAAGGATTTAAAATCAAAATCCCAACAAAAAGTGTCTCTAAACCTTTCTAGTAGCAAGAGCTCAGGCGTAAACATTGGAAATCGCCTGCTGTGTAAACATGCAGGTATTTCTCAGGCCCAGGATGAATGGCAGGGAGGTGGGCAACACTGCTGGGCCTACTCGCCCAGGGTTCAGAGCCAGGCCGGCGGGCAGGGCCCTGAGGGCGCCAGGCCTGTGCGGCCAGGGCGGCAGCTGCCCCAAGGCGAGCGGCCTGTGGACCCATCTCCGCGGGGAGGGGGTCACAGCACTTCCGTCCAGTGCCTGTCAGGAGGGTGTCTGCCCCTGCACCACAGAGGACTGGCAGGTCTGCCCGCTTGCTTTAAATAATCTAAATAAAACACTCAGAGCTGACAAGGAATTTGAAAAGGTGTCTCCCCATTTCGGCCAAGCATTCGCCATCCTAACCCCTAACTGGGAGGCTGACCATCCCTTTACAGTGAATTTCCAAAGACACCTGCAGCAGCTACCTGGGTGGTCTGTTGCTGAGGGGGGGCAGGCAGCCAGAGGGGCAGGGAACCCCACGGGCTCAGCCTGTGGCCACTGGCTCTCCGCACCGCCGGTGGGGGTCAGAGGTTTACGCCATCTTTTCACAACCGAGCAGCAGCTTGAAACTTGGTGGCCCCTTTCCTTTTCCAGCTTTCCTGAAACCCTCCCCGGCTGGCTGGGACTCTCCTCTACAGCTCCACTTAGGGCTCTGTCGCTTTTGGTGCTGCCGGCCGAGGGCCCCCCCAGGAGCCGGCCAGGCGCGCAAGGCATTGGGGAGCGCAGCCGGAGACCCATCTGGGTGCAGGGCCCCCAACCCGCACTCGTCTTCGCACCCAAGGGTGGCCTCGCCTCACTTGGGGAGGCATCCTTCACTCCCAAAGAAACCTCCCTTCATTGCCAAGTGTCCTTTATGGTTCTGACGGCCCTAACCTCTCCCGGTCCCAGAATCGCTTGCTTTTGAGCCATTTCTACACCGGATCCGCGGGAAGGCTGCCCCAACCACCTCCAAGTTCGCGCACTCAGCGCTAGAGAAGAGGAGACACCTATTGGCAAGAAAGCGCGCTCGGAATCAGGGCTGCTCTGGGGAACACCCGCGACACGCGCCCCAATCTGTGCCGCGCCCGGCCGCCCGCGCCCCTCCCGGCGCGCAGACCCCAGCCCAGGCCCTCGCCTCTCGGGGCTGAGACCCCGCCGCGCGGGGCAGGGGCGCGGGCAGGGTGCGAGGGCGCGGCCCGGGCTGTCGCGGACCGGGAGACCCCAGGGAGCGGTGGCCGCGCCGGGCTTACCTTCCTCTGCCGACTTCATGGTGCCGCCGGCGGGCGGCGCGGGCCCCAAAGTTTCTCCGCTTCCGAAGGCTGCAGCCGGAGGGCCGAGTGGAAACTTGGAAGGGACTGGAAAGCTGGTACTTGGCATCCACGCGGCGGCGGCGGCAGAGGAGGAGGAGCGCCTGAGGAGGAGCAGGAGGCGCAGGAGCTGGCGCCCCGCGCCGTGGGCCACCCGGGATGGGTCCCCGGGAACCCGGACCTCTGCCCGGCGGACACGCGCCCGGCCCGGCTCAGCGCCGCGCGCCCCGGGGAAATGTCATTGAGGGGCGTGTGCGCGCGTGGCAGGCCCGGCTGCCGCCCTGGGACCTGAGCGAGTGACGGAGGCCGGAGAGGTGCACCCCCGCCCCTGTGCCCGCGCCCGGCCGCTGCGACCCGCGCTGTGCCTCTGCCGGCGAGTTCCGAGTCTGAGTCTCGCTCTGACGCAGGGCCGCGCTCTGCCTCCGGCCTTTTTAAAGCTGGAAAACACCTCCCCCGCCTCCCGCCCGCCCGGCAGCTCCCGCGCCCCCTCCCTGCCGTGACATCACGCCCCTGCCCGCCCGAGCCGGCGCGGGGCCCGGGGGACTAGTCTCGGAGCGCTCGCCGGGCGGGCGGGGCGCGCGGGCAGGGAAGGGGCGCACAAAGGGGGACGGGGCGCATGAAGGGGGACAGAGGCGCACAAAGGGGGACGGGGCGCATGAAGGGGGACAGAGGCGCACAAAGGACGGGGCGCGCGGGGGCGAGCAGGCGCGAGCAGGCGGGAACGCCGGCAGGGGAGGGACTTACAGGGGTACCAGGGGCGCGAGGGGGACCAGTGGGGTGCCACAGGCGGGACTGGTCGCGGGTCGGGCGGTGAGACTAGGGCGGCTGCACGAGGGAAAGCAGGGCGAACGGGCCCGACCGGACTCCGAGTCCACGCGGGGGTCCTGAGAGTCGCACTAGCCTTAATGAGCGGCGGGGGGGGACCTCGGGGGCCGGGGCGGGTGCGGAGAAAGCCCTGCATGCTGAAGTCATTATGTAAAATCGCAGGCTTCCCCCGCTGTGGAAATTTGGAAGAGCGCTCCTCTGGCAGGCCCTAGAAAGGAAATTCCCATCCCGCTAAATTACTAACAGATTGCATGGCCGTCCCGGGACGTCGAGTTATTGTCCGTTTATTCTGTATATTTTTTTTTTTTTTTTTTTTTTTTTTTTTTTTTTTTTTTTTTTTTTTTTTTTTTTCTCTGCGCACCCAGACCCGTCGCAGGGCGGGCGCGGGGAGGTGGCGGAGCCGCGCTCACCTGCCGGCCGTCCCGGCGGCTGGGTCCCGAGGGCGGCCCGTGCCCGGGCCGTCGGTTTCACCTCGCGTCCTCCCGCTCGCGCCGCGTCTGCGGGTGCGGCCGGGCGCCAGAGCGAGGCGGTTTCCCCGCGGGCGCAGGGACTGAGAGCGGGGGCGGTGGCACGTCTGGTGCGCAGAGGCATAAAATCTTGCCGCGTGCGCGGCCCCCTGTGGCGACATTCGCGGCCGAAGTCGCGTCTGCCGGGGCTCGGAAGCCAGAAGAGCCGGATTTGGCGCGCCCGTGGTTCCGAGCCCAGGGCCGGCGCGCTGTGTCGCCCGCCGGGCAGACGCCCAGCAGTACGAGGTGCCCGCCTAGCGCCGTCGCTCTGGTGCGTTCCAGCAGCGTCGACTCAACACAACTAAGATCCCTCCTTTTCGGGGTGTGGGGTGGCGGCCCGGCTTGCCCGGGGGGTCAGAGCCGCTCTCGGGGTTCCCACCTACAGCCCCTCCCGCGCCGGGCACCGGCCGGGTCGGTGGAGAGGAGGGGACCCCCGAGAGTGCGGGGTGGGGGGGCCTGCAGGATGTGGGGGCGCAGGAGGGGGCGCTTCCCGCGAGAGCGGCCGCCGCTGGGGGGCGCCAGGGGCGCGCGCTGTCGCCCTGCGGTCCCTTCCCGAGTCGCCACGGCGAGTCCTGCCGTGCCCGGACCGGGTGCCAGGACTTTGCCGGAGAGTTTCCGTCCCCCGCCCGCTTCTCCCCCGGGACCCTCGGGCGGGGCTGCCGGGCGCGGGAGGGGCCGGAGCGGGGGAGTGCTGCCCGCCGGGACGCTCTTCCTCCGGCTCCCGCTCCTCCTCTTCCTCCTCCTCCGCCGCCTCCTTCTCCAAAAAGTAATTTTTCACCCCATCCAGAAAAGCTCTCTTTTCCTGTCTGCCCGGGAGCTCTCCTGATCCCCCGCCCGGGTGACGGAGTCCCCGGTCTGTTTCTCTCTGTTTAATGCCGTTGCCGGGACCACGGTGGCCGCGCGCCAGGGCGCAGCGCCGGAGGCGGCGGCCCCGCGCGCCAGCCCGGCCTGTGCGCCCCGGCCCTGCGGCCACCGCGCGCCCGGCCACCGCGCGCCCGGCCTGCGCCCGCCGCCGCCTTCCTCTTCCTCCTGCCTCCTCGCGAGGTTTGTTTATAGCCGCCACTAGGAGAGACGTTACACGGGTTTTATTTTAAGAATTGGTGATGACTAACAAAGTTAAAAGGAGCTTAGGACTGAAAACAAGACTATTTTTAGATTACTGTTGTTTCTGTGGATTATTGGGGCGAATGCACCTATAGAAGCGTGCCACTTTAGCAGTATCTCTGGGTGCCAGCCCTTCTTCCTGGAGCGCACGTGGGTATCCCTTCGCCCGACCGGGTTTTCCAGACTCGCGGGCGGGTTCCTGCCCCGCCGTGCAAGCTCCACTGCGGGGCACGCACGCCGCCCCGCTGGCTGGGGCCTTTCCAGCGCTGGCGGCTGCAGCTGCCCAAGCTGAACGCGGGGTCCTCCTGCCCGGAGCCGGCGATCCGCCCGCCCTGCCCTCGCAGGCGGCCCCTCCGCACTCACCCGGTGTGCCGCAGGGGGGCCGGCCCGGGCGGGGCGGGTGCGCCCACTTCTTCCCTTTAGGGAACCGCGTGCCCAAATGCCACCTCTCGCTGGTGAAAATCACATAACACAACTGCAATTAATGTAAGTGTTGTAGCTGTTCCCGCCACATCTGCATTCGGACCTCGGGTCACTCCAGATCCTCCTGCAGTTAGGAGTCTGACTCAGCCCCTCAAAATGGCAAGTGCGGGGTCCGCCCCCCAGCTCCTGCTGCCGCTGGGAGGAGCCGGGCTGCCCAGAGGTGCTGGGAAGTGGGCCTGGCGAGCGGGCACTTGGCCAGAGTCTGGGAGTTAGGGTTAAATCAACAAACCAAATTGTGGAAAAGGTTATTTACTTGTAAATAAACTACTGAATTTTTTTAAAAAGCAAGTAGGAGTGAATGTCACAGACGTGGAGTTGACTGGAGCTAAGAAAGAAGGTCTTGGTTGTACACCTGTGTCAGCACCTCCAGACTTTCCTTTCTGGAGTTGGGGGTGTTCTTGGAGATCCTTCAGTCTGGAGTGGAGAGATCTGCACTGTGCTTTATGCGTTAGGGTTCTCTGACTGCCCTTCCCTGGAACACGGCAGGGCCTTCTTCGCTGGTCTCCCTGCCTGACTCTCACTCCAACCGCCCATCCCACACGACACCCCCAGGTCTAAAACCTCAGCTGTCAATCAACCAACCAACCAGCTCCCCTCCTCTGGGCACATGCCCAAGGCCTGAGGGTCAGGCCACACTGCTCGGCCTGGCACCTGATGTCCTTCAGCTCCACGTCCCCTGCCTGGCGTGGCCACAGAGGAGACTCCTCACCAGGAACACACACCTCTGAGACAGTGGGGACCTTCCCCAAGTCCGCAGAGCTGCTCACCAAGTGCTTGCTCGACCCCAGAACCTTCCTCCAAGCTGCCCTCCTCCCTGCACCCAGGGTGCCCTGACAAGCCTTTGCTTACCTCCCCTCATGCAGTGGTTAAGGGAGTTTGTTTTACGGCCGGAATATGCTCTGTGTTGGAGGATGTCCCCGTGCACCGGCTGGGGACAGGTGCTCTGCGTGGGGCGCAGCGTTCTGCAGACGCCCAGAAAGTCTGTCGGGCGATACTGCCGTCCACAGCTTGCGTTCCTCGTTGGTCATCTGGCTGGTGGTTCTGGCCTGTACTGAAAGTGGGGCACGGAAGCCCCGCTCTGTTGTAGAGTCCGCTTCTGCTTTCACTCTGTGGATTCTTGCTTCATGTATTTTAGAGCTCTGTTATTAGGAGCACATATGTTCACATTTGTTATGTCTTTCACAAGAATTAGCCCTTTTATCATTATGAAACATTCCTCTTTATATCCAATAATACTTTGTTTTAAAGTCTGCTTTGTTTTAAAGTCTGCTTTGTCTAATGGCTGTCTAGCACAGCCATTCCAGCTTTCCTTTAGTTGCTCTTTGCATGATGCGTCCTTTTCCATAATTTTGTACCTTTGAGTCTGAAGTGCATCTGCTGTGGACATTGTACAGTTGGGTCATGTTTTTTATTCATTCCGACAATCACTGCTTTTTGATTGGATCGTTAAATCCATCTACATTTAATGCTGTTACCAATATAGTAGCATTTCCATCTGCCATTTTACTTTTCGTTTTCTGTTTCTCATGTCTTTTTACTCCTCTAGTCCTCCTTTCTTTGCACTAAGTGAATATTTTCTAATGTAGAGGGTTTTTTTTTATTTTGTGATTTAGTTATTTCTTTAGTGGTTGTTCTAGTGTTTGCAGTATACATCACAGTCAGCTTCAGGTCTACATTAGCTGACTTCAGTGGTGCCCAGACACTGTTCCCACGCAGCTTTGCTCCCTCTCCCTCCTGCTCGCCGCGTGAGGTTCTGCAGGTCACAGACAGCAGCGTTGCAGGCGCCGCAACCGTGGTGACAGCCACTGTGTGACCACCTGGCCCAGCACAGCTCTGCTCCTGCCACTTCCTTTGTGTTGTTACTGGCAACACGTTACACACATACCACATGTCCAGCGTCACATTGTAGACACATTGTTTTACACAATTGCTTTTTAAGTCAGAAGAAGAAAGGAGAAAATGTACATTTATACCAGCTTATAAAATTACATAATTGCCTTTACAGGCACTCTGTCCTCCCCCCCCCCCCCCGTGGGTTCAATTGCTGTCGGGGGTTTCTCACTTCCAGCCTGAAGACCTTCCCTCAGAAATTTTTGTAAGGTGGATACGGCAGCAAGAAATTCTGTTTTTCCTCACCTGGGGAAGTCTTTAGTTCTCCTTCATTTTTGAAAGGAAGCTCTGCTGAGTATAGGATTTTTGGTTGACAGTTTTTTTGAGTTTTTTTTTTTTTTTTTCCTTTGAGCACGTTGGATCTTACCCATTGCTTTCTGGCTTCTGTAGACATCAGAGATGTTAAACTTATTGGGGTTCCTTTGTAAGTGACACATCATTCTATTCTTTCTGCTTTTGAGATTTCTTCTTTGCCTTTGCCTTTCACCATTTCTATTATAAGGTGCCAGTTTGTGAGTCTCTTAGAGTTTGCCCTACTTGGAGCTCCCTCAAACGTAGGTTACTGTTTTTCAATAAGTTTGAGACATTTTCAGCCATTATTTCTTTTAATATTTTTTCATCTCTTTTCTCTCTTTCCTTCTGGTACAACCATTCTGTGCACGTCAGTGCCCTTGACAACGTCCCTCCGCCCCTCATTTCTCCAAGGCGCTTTTAATTTTCTTCATCACTGATCTTCCTTCAAGTTCACTAATTCTTTCTTCGGCCAGTTCAGATCCATCGTCGGGCCTCTACCAAGTTCTTCACTGCAGCTGTGCCTTTCAGCCCCAGAATCCCCACTCGCCTGTTGATAGTGCCTGCCTGACGTGGCGCTGTCGTCATGCCTTCTTTCACTCCTTTAATTAAGATTTTCTTTAGTTCTGTGAACATATAATGAGTATTTTGACATCCTCTTCTGTTAAATCCAGCATCTGGTCATTCTCACAGGCAGTTTCTGTTGTCTGTTTTGAGTGTTTTCGTCTTTTCATGTGCGGATCATGCTTCTGTGTTTCTCTGCACCCCTCATACATTTTGCTGGGAACTGGCCACTGTAGACGGTACATTGTAGCAAATCTAGGTGCCAGTTGCCCGGGTGGGGCTTGTTCTCGCTATTGCTCTTTGTTCAGTGACTTCCGGGACCACTGTGGGGCCGTGTGTGTCCCCTCCCTGCATGTTCAGTGTGGTCCCTTGGTAGGTGCAGCTGGGGCAGCGTGCCCAGAGGCACCTGGGTGGCGGGACTCGGTGGCGATCCTCCTCTCCCTGACCACAGGGCGGGCGGACAGGGCTGCTCTGTTGTTTTTAGCAGTGTCCGGGCTGGGCATCGCTCTACAAACTGATGTCCCAACTTGTGCCTGCTGTGAACGGTGGTTTCTGAGGTCCACGTCTGTATTTGTTTCAGCCTCAGGGGGCCCCCAGATGTCTGTTCCCCAGTTCTCTCCTGGACCAGAGCCAGCTGCTGTCCCAGCCACACAGGCGCCAACGCGTGGCTCTGCCAGCCGCCTGCTGTGGCAGCGCCCGGTTCTCCAGAGCACCTCGGGGAACACTGCCCCACGCTCCGCCGCAGCCGAGGTGAGTTCCTTGCGGAGGGAATTAGGTGCCGTCTCTCTTACTTGCTGCTTCTCCCTCCAGGAGAGACCTCTGGGCGGGGGCTGGGCCGGCAGTGAGTGCCAGTCTGAGTGACACCCCCTTTCAGAGCTGAGGTCCCATCGGCTCCGCTCCGGGCCTGGAATCGCCCGTGAGCCTGCGCCCCACTGGGAGCAGGGATGGGAGGGCTGGGGGAGCCCCCACCCTCCCCAACTCCCCCGGACCCAGCGTCAACAACAAGGCGGGGGGGATGCGGAACACTGGCCTTGCCCCCAGGGCTGAAACTCTGTCTGGATGCTGGGACTCCGTCTCTGGCTGTGGTGGACACACCGAGTCCCGCCTCGTGCAGCTGGGAGGGGACGAGGGAAGGGTTTTGGTCCAGTTGCAGACTTCTCATCAAATATCCACAGATATTTTTCAATAGATGTTTCTTCACTGGCGGTTTGTCCTTAAGGACCATTTCCGGAGATTTTAATTAAATGGTTGGGGTTTCGAACTCACGGTGCCGGTTTCCAGCGGCACGGGTTGGCTGAGCCCACTCCCAGCCAGACGCCAAACTCCCACAGCCGGGCTTGGGCCCAGCCCCCACTGCGAGGACCAAGGACACACTCACCTGGTGGCAAGGTCGGTGCCGGCACCTGCCGGTGCGCTGTGGTCATGTGGTCGCCACGTCAGAGCGGCGCTATCCTGGGCTGAGCTGCGTCCTCCACGACAGCGAAGCCCCCTCCTCCGGCACCTCGCCGACTTGGACACGGGTCCTTCCCCTGTGACTGGGTGAGACGGGGTCGCCATGGGGCCCAGTGGTGGCAGCTGGCCCACGAGGAGACACATGTCAGGAGGGTCATGTGACATTGCTGGCGCGGCCGGGTGAAGCCCAGGAGCACTGGGGCCCCCAGCAGCCAGGGGTGGGAGAGGCGGGAAGGAGCCCCTTCCAGGTTTGGACGGGCGCGGCCCCGCCCCTGGGTCTGTCTGAGCTGCCAGCGTGTGCTCCCTGCGGTGGCAGCCCTGGGGACCGGCGCGGTGGCCACGGCCCCCACGGCCCCCCGGTGCCACCACACACCACACATCCTCCTCGGGGGCCTGGAAGCGCCAGGCCGTGCCCTGCCAGCGCACCTGCTGTGGGACTGTGGCCCTGGCGGGCACCACGTGGGGGTGGCCCCCACGCCCCCTGGGTGCAGACCCCGCCAGAGCCCAGAGCCCAGGCCTGAGTTCTCTTACTCCTGGCGAAGCTCCGGGTCCCGGGGCCGTCGCGGCGGGAACTGAGGCCCGAATCCCGGTCTGGAGCCGCCTCTGAGGGCCCCTCCGTGCCGACGGCCCAGCTTCCTGCTCCGCTGGGCCGCTTTGATTTGGGATTCTGTGTGCGAGGCCAGGAGGCCTGGTTCACGGAGAACGTGCCAGGAGCCCGGCCGCAGCCAACCTGCCGCAGGGCTGCTTCCTGCGCGTGGCGGGCAGGGCTGGCTTGGAGGCGAAGGAGAGTAAACAGCTTCCAAGCAGGAAGGAAGGCGAGCCTGTGGACACCGGGCAAACCCCGCTAGGCCTGCGGCTCCAACTGGGCCTCGCGCGACACGCTGAGCAAGGAGAATGCCCTTTCTGCCTCGATTTCTCTTGGAAAACTCAAGCGGGCTGCGCCAACGTTCCTGTAGAATGTGCGGGTTTGGCCGTGCAGGTGAGAAAACTGGTTGAGCCTTGTGCGAGGCAGGAGACGTGCCCCTTCCTGGCCTGGGTCCCGAGGCCGACGGCAGGTTCCTGGAGTCTGGCCGTCCGCGCTGAGCTCTGCCTCTCAGAAGTCAGAGAGTTGCACAGAGGCCGGACGAAAGTCGCTCTGCACTTGGGAGCTTGTCTGCTCCTTTCGGGACAAGGAGGGGATCGCCAAGCACGCCCTCCCTCACGCCACGGGGACCTGCTCTGCACCCGCCCTGGCCTGGTGCGAAGTAAATCACGTTTTTAACTTCTGGCCAGATTTTGGGTTTATCCCTGTGAAATCAACAGTTGTTTCCCTCTTGCAAAATCATACTAGTTTTCAAATGGCAATATTCCAACTTTTTTCTTCAAACTGCTTGGTTTAGCCAAATCTGCTCAATTGAGTAGCAGCCCGAGGCAAGCCTTTTTTGCCCCAGCCTTAGACAGGGGTTCTTTTTGTTTTCCTTTTTGATGCTAAATTACTTTCATTTTTCACTCGTGCGCAGCCTTCTAGACGGCTTCTAGGCGGCTCCTGGCGGCTGGCGGCGGAGGAGGGTGCTCTGCCCCACCGCCCGGCTGCAGGGAACAGAGCCCGCCTGAGACCTGGGCCGGAGCCACAGCTCGGGTTCACTGAGCTTCCCAAACTATTTTTAAAGTGTTTTGGTTCAATAAAGCTCTAAACAAGTTTTGCCAGGCACTTTTTCCATTGATTTTTAAACTGGAGTGAATTTCAAGGGGAATTTAATCCATGTGTTTCTGATTCATTTGCACTTAACTCATCAAGATGTTGTGTTGGAGCCGTTTGATGTCCAAGGAGACGTGGAGCTTCCCATGCGCCCGCCGCAGCCTTTTTCTGCTCAGAAACAGGAAGTGGCGTCTTGCCAAAGTGTAAACGAGCGTAAGCTCAACAAAGATGTTGTTTCAAGTCTCAGACCCCAAAGCGCAGGGCGGTCCCCGGCCCCCGGGTTCTTGGCCTGTGGATCCTCCTGGGTCACGCCGTGCCCCTCGTCTGTCTTCACGCTGCGGTGAAATGCGCGCGACAGCAGATTCACTGCGGCAAACACCTTTGAGCACAGAGTTAAACCGCATCGAGCGCGTTCACGCTGCCTGAGGCCGTCACCACTGTCCCTCCTGGAACCCTCATCTTCCCAGACCGAAGCTCTGTCCCAGGAAACGCCGACCCCCGACCCACCCGGCACTTTCTGCCCCTGTGGCTCCGGGACCCGGGCCCTCCTGTGAGCGGGGCCACACGGCGTCTTCCCGACCGTGCCCAGCGTCATCCGTGCTGTGGCCCTTCCTCTGTGGGGCTGGGGGTGTCCCCCGCCAGCTGTCAGGACACAGGCTGCCGTCACCTCCGGCTGCTGCACACAGAGCCCGCTTCCCGTCCCTGCCGTGCACGCCTGGGCACGGAACCGCGGGTCCTGGGTGACTCTGCGCTTAGCTTTCTGAGAGTGGCGGCTGCCGGGCTTTTCCGTGGCATCCTCGTGGCTGACAAGGGACGGCCTCACATGGACGCCCTCCCTGGAGGAAGCTCCAGCTCTGGGCTCAGCCCCCCGTGGGGGCGTGGAGGGCCGGCTGGGGGTGCTGTCCTGATGGCACGAGGGCGGTGGCAGCACAGTGGGAAGAATTTGGTGCCACCCAGGCGCGCGGGGGCAGGGCCCAAAACTGGGGGTCACGGTGGTCCCCACGTTGCGTGTGTGGGCGTCCCTGTCTGTCCCCCTCACAGCACCGCCAGCAGGTGCCTGTGCACCTCCGAGGGATGTGGGCCTTGGTCCTCACTGTCCTTGCAGGAGGGGCACGCGGGTGTCCCACACTTGCCGTGGTCAGGCCTGGCAGCCCCTCCTGGGCGCCGAGCACGGAGCTGAGAGGGCGCAGCCAGGGTGTGGGGCGTGATGGTCACCCCCGCTCGGCCCGCTGCCCCAAGTGGCCCCTGGGAGCCAGCTCTGGGAATGGGGTGCAGGTGACAATGGCCCCATCCGGCAGCAAGTGCTGGGTGTCTGTGGGGTGGCTGTGGTGGGGTGAGAGAGGACGCAGGGCAGCGGAGGCAGGGCAGGGCCCGTGGGGGAGCAGCTGCCGTGGGCAGACCCCGGGAGGGGTTTCCCCACACCTCTGAGGTTAGGTTTTGGCATTTGGGGTCCCTCCAGCCCAGCCTGGGAGGTCTTCCATACCCTCCAAACCCAACTCTTGGTTCCAAGACTTACCTCTTGCCGCTGGACGGGCACCTTCCGGCACCTTCCGGCTTTTTCACCCCAGGTGGTCCTCACTATCCCAGGAAGTCTGAGTTCCGAGCTCCGTGGGTTCCCGAACCTGCAGCCTCACTGCTCAGCCAGGTCCCCTCCTGGCCACAGCCCCACGACCCCACCAGGCCACCTCCGACCCCTGCTGCCTGCAGGTGTCCGCCTCCTGGGCTTCAAGGTCACCAAGTGCGTGGAACCCTGAGACCTCCCAGTCTCTGACCCCCAAGATCCCAGAGCCAGGTCGGCCCAGTGGATCCATCTCTTGGCTTCTAGCACCCCCTTCTGGAAACTTCTGAGGTTGCACCTATTCGCGGTGGTGCCAGCCTGGGCTGTGATGTGTGGACGGTCGCGGGGGAGAGCCCGGCAGGGGCGTGGCGGGTAGCGAGAGCAGGGTCTGCTGGCCCCCAAGTGCCCAGCTGCTCGTGGGCGGAGCAGCTCCAGCCACCAGCTCCCCGGGGCACAGCGGCCTCTGACGGACGCGTCCCTTGGGGACCCAGCCCTGAGCACGTCCTGAGCAGCACCCTGGCCGGGTGGAGGGTGCCTAGGGCGGGCTCGTGGAGGCAGGTCCCGGGCATCTGCAGCCGCTGAGATGAGGGGTTTCATGAAGGACTCGAGGCCTCCTGCCGGCGGGTCCCGAGGCCCCTTTCCGGAGCCCCCAGGGCCAGCCCTGTGCTGGGGCAGCTCCTGAACGGGGTTGGGGTGCTTGTTCAGCTGCGTGGGGGGCTCCTAGCGGCTCTGACCCCGGGAGAGGCTGTGGGGACCCTGAGGTGGGGAGAGCAGGGGGGGGCAGGGAGGGCTGTAGGGGTGGGGGAGGGGTGGGGGAGCTGTGGGGGTGGGAGGGAATGGGGGAGCCTGTGGGGGGTAGGGAGGGTAGGGGATGGGCAGAGTTGGGGAGAACCTGTGGTGGGTGAGGAGGGTTGGGGGAGGCTGTGGGGGTGGGGAGGGTTGGGGAGGCTTGGGGGTGGGGAGGGTTGGGAGGCCTGTGGGGGTGGGGAGGGTTGGGGAGGCCTGTGGTGGGTAGGGAGGGGTAGGGGATGGGAGGGGTTGGGGGAGCCTGTGGTGGGTGGAGGGTGGGGATGGCAGGGGTTGGGGAGCCTGTGGGTGGGGAGGTGTTGGGAGGCCTGTGGGGGTAGGGAGGGGTAGGGGATGGGCAGGAGTTGGGGGAGACCTGTGGTGGGTGGGGAGGGGTGGGGGATGGGCAGGGGGTGGGAGGCCTATGAGGGGTGGGGAGGGGTTGGGGAGGCCTGTGGGTAGGAGGGGTGGGATGGGCAGGAGTTGGGAGCTGTGGTGGGTGGGGAGGGTGGGGGATGGCAGGGGTTGGGGAGCTGTGGGGGTGGAGGGTTGGGGAGACTTGTGGTGGGTGGGGAGGGGGTGGGGGAGGGGTTGGGAGCCTGTGGGGGTGGGGAGGGGTTTGGGAGGCTGTGGGGGTAGGAGGGGTAGGGATGGGCAGGAGTTGGGGGAGACCTGTGGTGGGTGGAGGGGTGGGATGGCAGGGGTTGGAGGCCTGTGGGGGTGGAGGGGTTGGGGAGACTTGTGGTGGGTGGGGACGGGTGGGGAGGTCTGTAGGGGTAGGGGGGTGAGGATGGGCGGGGGTGGAGGCCTATGAGGGGTGGGGAGGGGTTGGGGGAGGCCTGTGGGGGATGGGGAGCTGTGGGGAGGGGGAAAGGATGTGGGGGGCCCTCCGCCTCTCCCTGCCCCACCCTGGGAGCTCCCAGGTGGGGTGTCCCCTGTCTCTGGAGAAGGGTTAGAGGCTCTGGGTGCGGGAGCCCAGCGGAGCCCTGCTGGGAGACAGGCCGAGGTCGGCCCTGCCCAGGGGCCCCACCCAGCACTCAGGGGACCTGGCCTTTCCCGGCCAGCGCTGAGCCGGGGAGTGGACCAGACACAGGCCGTCCCCCCAGACCTGAGTTCAAGTGGGGCGGGCCTCCCTGCTACCCAGTGACCTCGGTGGTCCCCGAGACCCTCCTGGGGGGGTGCTGGGCCACAGGGAGCCATGGGGGGAGCAGGAGGGCTCTTGGCTGTGCCTCGTCCTCCAGGGCCTCGGCCCTGCTGCCGTGTCTCCCAGGCCGGCCGTGCTGCAGGACTGCGCCGGGCCTGCCTGCAGAGGCCTCCAGGTCCCAGAGCGACAGGCTCCCCAAGGCCAGACCTCAGAAGCTGGGGTGAGACCGGCCGTCTGAGGGATGGGCCCAGGGACCCGAGTGCCGGCCTTGTGGCCACACCTGGCCTGCTCCAGGCGCCGGGATACCGGGCAGCAATTCCAGGTGGCGCTGCATGTCCGGCCCGCGAGACTAGCCTTGCTAGGTGGGCACGGGAGGGACTCTCAGCCGCAGCTCCTGCTGGAGCATGCCAACTGCTAGACACAGAGCCACCGCTGCTGGGTCGGGGCTGTGCAGAGGCCTTGGGGGGCCGAGGGGAGACCTGAGGTGACCTGGGCCCGAGGGCCTCCGCCTTCAGCGCTGTCCCTGCATCCCGGATCCCTTCGGGGTCTCAGCTCCCTTTGCTTCCCAGACGGGGTCCTGCACTGGGGACGGCTCACTTCCTGGGCCCAGGGAGGAGCCAGTCCCCGAGGGGAGTGTCAGCGAGGTGCCCCCGGTATGCCCGGGACGAGGTCCTGGCCGGAGCGCTGCCCACCAACCCACCCACCCGCGAGCCCGGAGGAGTGGCTGCGGCCAGTAGGTGACCAGGCTCCCCGGCGCAGGCAGAGGCACGAGCACCTGCTACGCCTTTTGGGATGGGGAGGCCCTCGCCACCTGGCGACAACAGGCAGGACGTTTTGCCGGGAGGACGCGGGGCATGCTCAGTGCTCACACCTGGTCAGGCCCTGGCCCCGGCCCGGGCAGATCTGTGTGGTATGGGCGCCACTCACCTGCCGCCAGGCCCACGGCAGCCGGCGCAGCTCAGCACTCGGCCCACAGCAACGCTGAAAGAGGGCAGCAGGCGGCTGTTCCCGGAGACACCCTCCCCGGAGGGCGGCAGGCACGACAGGTGAGGCGCTCGCCGCTGCCCCCCAAGACCTTCTCCCAGCTCACGTCTCTTCACGCTGTGAAACTCGGAAGTTGGCTGACTGGGTTCGCTGGACGAGGGAAGAGGTGTGGGGCATGTGGGGACCGCGCCACACCGCCACTCCACCGTGCTCAGCACCGGTGAGGTCGCCTGTCCAGCGTGCACACACACGCCACACACGCACACTCGAGGGCTCCACGGCGTCCCGCCACGGCCCCGCCGTCCCGCCACCCGGATCTCTGATGTGGAGAGTTTCTGTTTTCGTCCTCTGCTCACAGACAGAGGTTTGTCTTTAGTCCTGGTGTTGGGGTCTTTCCCAAGAGCCACCTGTGGTCCGGGGCCTATGTCATCGCCACCGGCCCTGCCCTGCGTCCTCTCTCTGGGCTTACCTGGCTATTTCTCTTCTAGCTCTGACTCTAGACCTTTCCCCCTAATACAAGCATTTCCATCTGTGAAATTTCCTCCAGCGCTGCTCTCGCTCTGTCCAACTTAGACAGATTGTTGTCTTCCAGTTGAAGTTGTTTATAATTTCTCTGATCATTTTTGTTGGACGGAGAGGTTCTTCACAAATGTGCTGCCCGCCTTCCTGCTGCTCTGGTTCCCCGGTGAGGTGACCCTGCGCACCTGGCCTTGAGGCATGCTATAGGGCTGGGGCGGCGGCGGAGGAAGGGGCTGCCCCCAGCAGACGGCAGCCCTCTGGAAGGCCTCAGCCCTGCACAGCTTTCTCTGCCGTGCCCACCCCAATCCACCAGATGCACTTTCCGCCCTGACCTGTACCCTCCGGGGCCCCGTCTCCCAGGGTGCCGCCCTGCCCTGCCCCTCCCCGCCTGTCCTGTGCCAGCTGTAGGCTCTGCTGCTCCACCTGGCCTCCTCAGCCTTTGGGCTGGCGTGCTTGGTCCACGTACGGAAGCCGCGGTCCTTGCCAAGACATGGAGAGCAGAGCCGTGTGGTCCAGCCCCTCCGGTGGACGGGCCGACCTCCAGGCCTTGGTGGGGGGGCTTCGAGGTGGGCCCTGCGGCCAGGGGGCGACTCACACCCGGCTTGCCCAGTCCATGTGGTTGAGGTCTCTCTGGTGTCACCTCTCTGCTGGGCCCTAACCAGGAGAGGAGGGACAGGCGGTCTCCCCCGCAGCCCCCTGATTCTGGCTCCTCGGAGTCACAGGCTTTGGAAGTGCAGCGCAGCCCTCTCTGACTCAGACCCACCGGGAGATGAGGCCGACTGCGTCCAACTGACCTGAGGCCTGTTGGAGTCTGTGTCAAAGTTGTGCAGAGCGCTACTTGCGAAGGCTGGCAGCTGTGTCTGGGGCTATCTACAACGTCTTACAGCTCAGCCCGCCAACTGCGTGGGTGGCGGTGAGCGGCCATCTGGCTGCACGTGGACCCTGGGAGGTGAATCCGGCGCCTGTTCCTGACGGTGCTGCCAGAGGAGGACAAGGGCGTCCTGAGCCGCCCACAGGACGACTCCCCACAGGATCTCTGCGCACACTGGCGAAACCCGCCGGGCAGCCCAGTGGACGCCTGGCATTCCAGACGAGTTGAAGCAGCGACACCATGTGGGCAAAGTGGGGAACGTCCCCAGGCCCCATGTCTCTGCAAATTCAGACGGGCTCGGCAGCCCAAAGCCAGCCTGCTAGACAAGCTCAATTCGAGAGGTGTGGATAGAAGTTTTCAGGGAGGCACAAGCTTTATTCCTTTAACTGAGGCTACGGATTCTCACGGGCATGGGGGTTGGGGCCGGGGGCCGGCGCTGCCAGGTCCCCAGCTTGCCGTGCGATTCCCGTGGAGCGCCCTTGTAGGCGGCCACGCAGGACGGCAGGGACGCGCGGCAGCTGGCGCAGAGAGGGCTGTGCTGTCCTGTCTTAGAAAACAGGAAGAAGCTCTGCAACAACAGGCCTGCTGTGGGCTGGACTGGAGGCCTGGAGTGAGACCCGGGCCCAGCACCACAGAGAACGCCGACCCCAGCCCGCAGCAGCCCCCGGCCTGACGGAAGCACGTGGCGCACGGACATCGTCACGGCTTGGGAAGCAGAGGGCTTTCTGTCTTAATGTGGATGCCTGTGTGTTTCTAACCAAGAAAACCTGCCACGAGGCGAGCACAGCGTCTCGGTGACCTGGGTGTCACGGGGCAGCTGGCTCGCACAGAGACGGTGTCGTCGAGAGTGGCTTTATGGCTGTGGGCAGGGCGGAGGTTGGAAAGCACCTGCACGCCGCGGCGCCTCCGGGGAGCACTCACACTGCGCTGCGATCCCGCCCAGAGACGCTGCCTTTGTTCGGCTTGTCCCTAGTGTGTGTGTGTGAGGGGAACGGATCTTTTTGTGAGGACTCAAGAACGCGTGGATTTCTGCAGGAAGCGACATGTGAGCAGGAAGAGAAGAGGGTGTGAGGCGCAGGGCGGAGGCCTCTGTTGTCCCGAGCGTGGACACCCACCGCCCCCCGGACTTGGGCAAGCGCAGACGCTGCCTCGGAAGCATCTAGACTTTATTACGTCTGGGCAGGAGTGACTCAGCCAGAACACCAAAGAAGGAACTACTGGAACGCTAGGCAATGGCAGAGGTTGAGCGTTCTTTCAGTTCTCAGGACTCCAGAGCAAGGCGACCCCTTCACAGCAGCAGTGAGAGACTCAGGGCTCATTTGCAATAGGAACTCGGGCTGCTTCGGAGTGCAAATTATGTTTTGAAAGACAGTAAAAAAGAAAAGCAGGTGAGGCCCCTCCGACAAGGTAGGCCTGGCGCGTCCGTGCAGGTCAGGAGGCCAGGTCAGGAGGCCAGGTCAGGAGGCCAGCTTGCAGTAGCTGGGCGGCGACAGCTTGCGCCTCAGGTACTTGAGGACGTAGAGCGGGAGGCAGCTGACCACGGTGATGGCCGACACTTTCCACAGGAAGGCCACGGTGGTGATAAAGGCAACATCTGTTGGCAAAACAGAGGAGAAATGTAGGCGCCGCCCACGGAGGCTCTGGGCCCTCAAGCACCGCCGCGGCCTGCCTGCCGCGGGACCATCGCCGCGCACGCCCCGACCACCTCCGGCGTTCTCCGCTGCAGGCCTGCTTTGCCCGTGTTGGGCGCAACTGATTCTTTTACTAGAATGAATGAAACTAAAGTATTAGAATGTGACACGGGTGACGATCGGTGTCACCAAATGCCACACAGGGGGCAGACAGTGCCTCCTGACAGCCAGCTGGGCTTCGTTAAAGGTGGAGCTGACTTAATCGGGGCCGCAGGCACGAGATGGCGCCTGCCCATCCCGCCTGCGCAGAGCGCGCAGCCCACGCCCTCCCAGCAGCTGCGCACGGGCCGGACCGTGATCCACGACAGAGCTGTGTTGCCGGCGACTGCGCCAGGTAAACCCCTCATGCGAAAATGCATGTGAGAAACCTGACGTGCATGTAGCTTGACTCTACATATGGCGGAAAACCTTTGGCATGTTGTTGGAAGATGTAATAAGCGCTGAGCCGCCGAACCCCGACAGTGAAGCACGAGAGGGCAGGCGTCGCTCCTGGGCCCAGCGGCCGTAAGCATACCACGGGGCTCAGCGAGGGGCCCTCGGGACAACCGAGGCAGACGAGCCAGCAGCACCTGAGCCCGGGGCGCACCTGCCGCGCGTCACAGATGAGCTGGAGGAAGGCTCTCTTCTTGCGAGTTAAGTGCCTTTATCAATACTGCTTTGCTTCGTTTCCACGCTTTTGAAAGCAGCAAGTTCACCTGCCTTCGAGAGCTCCAGAGATGCCCTGCTGCAGCCCCCGAGAGGCGCAGGGAGGGAGGACAGGGCTGGCAGCGTCACACGCTGCGAGTGCCGAGCTGACGAGGGGAGAAGTACTCTCAGAGGACCGGACACGGAAGGTGCGGTGTGTTTGCGACTGCGGCTCTGACCCTTGGCTGCGCTGCCTGTTCCCACAGGGCCTCCAGGCGTGGCCCGGACCCCGAGCGGTCAGGGGCAGCTGACGGCGTGGTCTTGCGCTCCCTGCAGGGCTCAGCCCCAGGCGCCCTGGGAGCGCGGCTCCTGTCACCCGTGCACACTGTGCGAGTGGAGACCTGCAGGGGTGAGCACACGGTGCTTGGGGTCCACCTGGCACGCCCCACGGTTTTCCTTCCACTGGGGATGTGGAGGGCTGGGAGGGCAGGCAGGGAGGGCACTGCCCCCACCACACTTGCCACAGGCAGACCCTGTGTGTTCCCAGGAAGTGTTGGGTGCTGGCGGCCCCACACTGCAGCGTTGGCCCTGGGAGACCCAGGCTCGGCCACGCTGGGGAATCGTGAGAGGCCTGGCCCCGCCCGTCCCATCTGGGCACGGTCCTCTCTTCTCTCCACCCTGGTTTTAACGTCCTTAAGGGAGAAGCCACATGCAGTCTTCGGGCCACGTCAGCCAGTTGAGGGGTGGCTGGGATGGAGCTCTGACTGACGGCTCTGCATGGGGCGTTCTCAGACTCGGCTGGCCAAGGCGTGAGCTGGGGAAGTGTGAGCCTGTCTGAGGAAGGAGCGCCAGCAGGGAGAGGGAGGCTCGGGGTGGGGCCCGCACACAGCCAGCTTCGGCTCCGGCAGCTCCCTCCCCTCCAGGGGCGCAGCGGTGTCAGGTCGGGAGGCTCTTCTGCCTGTTCCTGGGTCTTGAACTCTGAGGAAGAGGAGTCAGGACACCAGACACAGCCGTCTGGGCTGCTGTGATGTGGTGACCAAGAGGACGGTGAGGATGCAGCCCCCACGTGCTGGGTGCTCAGCTCTCATCTGGCTGTGTGCTGCCTGCAGTGGGGCGGGGGAGGTATGAGCAACAGCCCAGCCTTGGGCAACGCGGGCGGATGGATGCTTGAGCACGGTGCCGGCCTCAGGTGCCATGGGAGCCACACGCCTGCACACCGCAACCTCCCTCTGCCAAGGGTGCAGGGGAGCGGAGAGGCGCATGAGCAGCCGGTATTGGGCTGGTCCACTCCACACAGCTCCTCCTCTGGTGTGGGCATGGCGGCCTTAGTCACGAGCAACGGACAGACTGCACAGCTCTTCTGGGAAGACTTCTTGGAAATACACACAACTGTGATATTCTTTAAAAAAGAGCCAAGATGGGGAAAACCTTAACCTTATAAATGGTTTCGAACAGTTTTATCCTTCCACCAAGCAAGCTTTTGTGCCGTGAAACTTCGTGATGTGGGTTTCACTGTGATCCATAATTTAACACAGCGTATTAAGGAACAATAAAACATGTTTAAAAACCACAAATAGATAATGATTCAAAAAAGAATTCCAAGGCAACTTACCAAAATATTCATTCAGGAAAAGGAGCGAGGCCACATAGCAGCCCAGACTGAGGAACTCAGCCACGACCATCAGCCAGTGCCACGTGCGGACCGTGAGCGCCACCATGAGCAGCTCGGTGAGGATGAGCGCGGTGAAGGAGATGGCCACCACGTGCACGAACTCGGACTCGAACAGCAGCAGCGCCCCGTACATGAGGATGCCGCCTGCAAGACAGGGCAGGGGCTTCCACACACGCCTCGCAACACACCGCAGCCTCGGCGCACGCCAGGGGCCACAGGAACAGCTCCCTCCCCAAGAACGTCAAAAGCGCGGGACCATGTGCACACACTTTATCTGAACTCCAGGGATTAAGCTGGATGAGCCAGGAATAGCAAGCAGAGGCTTACAAAATTCTTAATACCTGGAGGAAAAGCCCAGCTCTACTTTGATCCGTGTAAATAATCGTGTTTCATGTAGTATGCGTGGTCTCTGTGTTCACTGCACTTCTACCAAGATCCACATGTGTGGAACGCTGGACACGGCGGGCAGTGGCTTCTCACAGAACCCACATCTCTCAGCCTTGCTACCACCCAGGAGAGAAAGCCGCCGTGCAGGTGCACAGTGTGGTGAGAGCTCGCTAACGTTTTTCTGAATTAACATTCACTTAAACACAGGTCAGTTCTCAGGTGACAAGCATTTATATATATATAAAAATACCAACCCACATCACTGGAACCTCAACTTAAGAGAAAAACAGAAAGCAGCATTTCACTCCCCACGGAATTTTAAGCTGGGAATTTAACCCAGAGGCGAGAGCAACACTGCTGAAAGAAAACAAGAAGATCTCTAGTGCAGTACCACCAGAGCCTGCCTTACCTTGGTAAACACTGATTAACACCCAGACGAGGAAGGTCTTGAAGGACAAGGATCTTCCCTAGGGAGAGAGGGGGCAGCTTAGTTAACAGAGAACACACGTGACTGAGGCGTCTGCACAAAGCTGGGCAAGAGCGACTCCAGCAGACCCCGGCCCAGCCACGAGCCGCCCTGGCCCCGAGCCACCACGGAGCTCGGCAGGGCCCTGGGACACCTGGGCTAGAGGTCACCGTTTTCTTTTGCCCGATCTTCCTAGTAGCCCAGGAGACAGCGGATATAAACAAACATCTCAATGAACTAGGGGATAAAGACTCTCTTTGTAAAAGTAATTTTGTTAAAAATAATTTCCCTTCACTTCTTTATTTCTTGGTAACAAGCATGTGTATGTTTACCTTTTAGTTTCTTCAGATCAAAAAATACAAAAGGTAATAGCTCTTCAGTAAGGACGGCCTACCCTGATTAAAGTAAAAATCATCATCCCTTAAATCCTTTCTGGGAACGATGTCACATAAACAAATCCCACATCGACAAACATAATGGATTCTTGAGTAACAACTTTTGCTTTTTAAAACCTTAGACAGGTTTTTAGGGCCGGGCCGGGGCAGAACTCCGGGCTGTGGTCTCGTCTAACACTCCCAAGGACAGGACTCCCAAGGATTAGGGCTCCGTTGTAATCCCAGACGGAGACTGAGTCACTAGTCACCTGCACCCACTTGTTGGTGCTAAAGATTTGCTAACCATGATGCAAGCGTTGACAGAAAAACCAAATTCTGCCAAAATACTTAAAGAGGTTTATTCTGAGCCAAACATGTGCGGCCATGGCCTGGGGCACGATCTCCCGAGGCAGCAGGCAACAGTCTGGTTCACGCTGTGGAGACAGGAACCGAAGGTGAAACCATAAACCAGCACGTGGGAGGTTCAGCCCAAAAAGGTGGGAAATCTCAAAGCAGGGCTTGCAGTCACAGGTGGGTTTTGGGAACTGTTCAGTTGGCAGCTGGTTGAACGTTCTGCTTTGTCTGCAGACTGGAAGTCAGCAGGAAGGAGTGCCCGAGTCCAGACAGGGCTGCTACGACGAGGGTCCTCTGCCAGGTGGTGCATTCCAGAGTCGGTCTGGACAGTGAGCTGCTTTGCACGTGGCTAATAAAAACCCATTAATGAGAGTTTACGGTTTGTAGGGCGCGACTCACCAGGCCTTTAGGAATTTAGGGAAGAGAACAAAAAGGTCAGAGTTCAGTCCTCCTGTGTCGGGACAAGCCAGTGGAGACACCACCAGCACCTGCCCTTCCACAGACCTTCCTGGGGACCGGCAGCATCAGGTGGGCAGAGCCGACACTGTTTTCGTTCACAGACGAAGAAACGTGCGGAGTTCGGTGATCTCCTCCAGTCCGCGCTGCAGGCTGGTGGGGCTGAGGGCTCAGCCGATCAGAGTCCACAGTGCCGCCTTCCGTCTGGGGCTTCCCCTCCCACGGGAGTCTCGTGAGGACATGGACAGGCAGGTCTCAGAGCCTCAGAGTCACCAAGTGACTCAAAGAGGAACAGGGAGCTTCCTGGAAGCTTGGCGACACCAGGAGGCACCGCAGGGACAAGTGAGGACGGCGCTGCAGCGCGAGGCTGATCTGCATCCGCTCTGCCTGCAGTCGCTGAGGACGCCTGACAGCTCCCAGCCCACAGAGAGGGCGGTGCACTGAGCTGAGCACGGACTACAACTCACGGAGGACAAGACCGCAGCTTTGCAAACATGGGTCCACCCGAGGAAGAATGAAAATCCTCCCAGCTCTGTTCTTTTTATAACCGTTTCCTAGGAGGCAACTTCAGACTTGAGGGAAAGCTCTAAGAGCAGGATGTGCTCCCACACGTGACGGTGGCCTCGCCAGGCTGGTGTTTCACATGAGCGCAGGACACGAGACATTCCGTGGGTGCCTCCCAGACATGCCAGCCGGGTGCCCCGATTCTCTCCAGTGCCCTTTATTGTCCCTGGCCCCACACGCAGCCTCCAGACCCGGCCAGCCCTCCCCTTCCACCCCTAACGCGCTAGGTGCCTCTCAAACCACCTATGCGTGATGCAGATGCCCACGGTAACCCGAACCCTAACTCTAGCTCAAAACCCTAACCCTAACCCTAGCTCTGCCCTTAGCCTTAAACCTAACCCTAACACGAAACCCTAACTCTAACCCTAGCCCTAGTGTGAAACCCAAAACCTAACCCTAACACTAGGGTCTTCCACGAGGAGACACTGGACGTGCCCCACAGGGCTCCAGTTGGGGCCGCGGCATCCTCGTGTCTCATCACAGGGGACACGGACTGCGGTCCCTGGTCAAGCTGGCGTCTGCTGGGTGTCTCCGTGTCAAGCCCTCACACATTTGTCCCTTTGTAACTGATGGGTGTCTTGGGAAGACACTTTCAGACGGTGCAAATATCCAGTTTTTCTCCCAACTGCCCACTAAGCTGTGTGCGCCGGGGGTCCCGCTGCAGCAGGTCCTGCCGTGGTCTCTGCTTCCTGCCCCACTCTCTTCACACGCACAGCTGGGCCTCTTCCGTGAGGAGGGTCCGCTCTGTCACACATGTGAAGTATGGACTGGCTGGTACTTTATCCCTGGCCACAATGCGATGAGCTTGTTTACTTTCCTGCTCCATCTGGGCCGCTGGGAGCTCTTTCTGGTCCCTCCCTGGGCCGCTGTGACACGACCCCACCATCGTCATCACCCTGCAAGGTTCTCTGGGCTCCTCTTGTTCCTTCCCTGCCCTGGCCCTGGGTGCAGCGTGGTCCAGGCTCTCCTGTGACTGCTGCTATGGGCACTTGCTTCCAGTCAGCTGTGGGCTGTTGTGGGAGACGCATTCACCGCGCCACACTCACATGCTGCCGCATCTGTCTCATACAAACTGCGAGCCCAAACTGATAGCCAACCCCTTATTTCTCACGTCTGATTCCAACGGCGAGAAACAGGTTCTCATTAGCCACGTGCACGCACCTGTTCAGCCAGAGCACACACAGCGTCTCACCTGGCGAGACCCAGAACCCAGAGAGAGTGAAGCTGAATGTTCAAATCAAAGCAGAATCCGACCTTCGAAAGGACACCACCAACATAGCATCGTTGCCAGTGGACCACTTCTACAAGGAATGAACGCCGTGTGGTTTTAGAACAAAGGGGGAAGCTTGTCTCTCTGTCTACCCCATCTGTCCACTCCCTACCCATTTACCCGACACCCAGTGAACAGACGGCCTGGCCGAGCGGCATCTGGCCGTGGAGACAGAGCCGTGAACACGTCTGTACCTGGGACTGGCTTACCTCACCAGAACAGTGGCCAGACCTGTGGCACGTGGGTTATTTACACGTTTAGACTAATAAGCCTGGTTCCTGAGCACAGATAAAACAGGATATTTTATCTCACAGTTCAGCACTTTCCCCTCTCTTGTGCATGGCATGTGCTCTCCCTCCTTGGTGGCCCCAAAGGTGTTTTATATGTTCACCGTGACCCCAGATTTGTGATGCGGATCCACTGGACAATGGCTGGCGTCTGTCCGAGGTTTATCTCATGCCGCTGTCCTGGGTCGCCGACTAACGCCACCCGCCCTCATGATGGCGCTTCTGCCCCCAGTCCCCACAGCCCACACTGGCAGCTGTGAGACTCTCCACCTGCCTTCTTACACTGCTACGCTGTGAAAATACACTTCCATGAAAGATAAACAAGACCTCCTTTAGGAATATTTCAGCCTTAACAGAGCACAGTTTTAAACCAAACGAGTGGGTCCTTTGCAGTTTCAGGTTAAGGCAGTTTCCGGGGGTGGGTTTTCCCTTAGGAGCATTGAGGCCAGACCTGCTGACACACGCGGGTCTCAGTGCAGAAACGCCTCGCCGAGCGTCTCTCGATCCACAGCTGCAGAAACTCTGCAGAGTGTGGACACCTCGTTCAATGCATCCGACTCCCAGCTGTGGGGCGCCCCATCCTGCAGCCAATGCACAGGAAGCTGCCCGCACAGCAGGTGCGATGGGGCTGGTGGAGCCTCAGCCAGCGAGTGCCTCCACACAGAGGTGGGACTTGGCTCTTCCCAGACACCTGGGAAGCTCGGTGGTCTGTTTGCCAAGTTCAAACAAGTTCCATGAATGGTTCAGGGAATCCTTTAAAATTCTACATTTATGTGTGATATTAGAGCTTTATTGCAAACATGAGAAATTTTTTTTCCCTGGGATGTTTTCCTCTTTTTGAAGTTTAACTCAAAGGGAACAATGTCAAAATAATTAGGAGACATAAGAAAATGTGGAAGGACAGAGAAGGATTACTGAGAAGATGCTTGGAAATGCCTCCCGTGGGCCTTTCCCCCTCCCGCGTGCCCAGAGCGTGTGCTCACTGGGCACCTGGCCGTACCTTGGTGAGGTCTTTGTACAGCTCCGGGTACAGCAGGGCCATCTCCGGCTTCACATCTTGATCCAGCACCAGGGAGAACACGGGGAACATGGTGTACACCGTTGCGTACCTTAGAGATCAGGGAAAGAGTGCGTCTGAAAACCGTCATGATACAACTATGAACACACCTCTGAAGTCAGAGGTCTACATTTTAGAAACAAAAAAACCCAGAAAAACCAAAAGAACAAGTTGGCAACCAAGTGAGATTACTCCTAAAAACTGAATATTTATCCTGCAGCACAATAACATGTTCTATAACCACAAATGCTTCGAGGCAGTGGAATCACGGAAACATTTTTTATTAAACTTTTTATGTTGAGACTGTCGTAACCTCACACCCAGTTGTCAGAAACAGCAGAGCTGTCCCTTGGTCCCTTTACCCAGCTCCCCTGAAGGAACATCTTAGAAACCGAGCACAACCACCCCTCCGTACTGACGCCACAGTCCGCAACGCACCCTCCCACCAACAGCCTCCTCCCGGCTCCCGCAACCAGGTTGTCTGTTCATCTTTATGATTTCTGTACTTTAAAGAACATTGTATCAATGGAATTACATCGTAGGTAACCTGTGGGGATTGGATTTTCTCACTCAGCGTGATGCTCTGAGATTCACCCAGGTTTCTGCTGTACCAGCAGCTCATTCCCTTACATTTCTGAGCAGTACTTCATGGGGTATGAATGAACCCTATTTTACTTAGCCATTCATTCATTCACTGACATACATCTGGGACAGTCCCAGTTTGTAATTATTACAAATAAAATTACTATTAACATTCACGGCACAGATTTTTCGAAGTTGTCATTTATTTTGGGCGGGAGTGCCAACTGGGACCTGTAACCACTGGGTCACATGGGAGCAGCATGTTCAGTTTTTTTAAGGAACTGCCAGAATGTTTTTCAGATGTTAGGATTTACGTCCCTGCTAGCAATATGAGAGACACGCACCTTCCCGGGCTCACCTGCCACCCACATATCTCCCGGGCAAAACACCTCTTCGTGATTCTGTTCCCTAACTGGACCGCTCTTCCCACACTGCTGGACACGCGGCCACTTCCCTCCAGCTCCCAGGACCCCGCACGGGCAGTGCTGTGTCGAGGAGGCTGTTCCTGTGCACTCGGTCCCCTCCAGCCGGTGGTTTCTGGGAAGACCCATTTGCCGCACGGACGGCTCCCCTCACAGCCTGCCTATTCTCACCTGCCGCCAAGGTGCTTCCTTGTCTCTTTCTCTTCAATGTGGTTGTGATGTGCCTGTGTGTGGACTCCTTTGAGTTTATCCCGTTTGGGGTTTGCTCACCTCTTCAATCTGTAGGTTTATGTCCTCTGCCAAGTTTGGGAAATTCTCAGCCATTACGACTTCGAGTAATTTTGGCCCCGCCCCTACTCCTTTGGGACACAGCAAGGACGACGGGTTCTGTGTGACCGTCCCACACGTCCTGGAGGCCCTGGCCGTTCCTGTGAGGTCTGTCTTCCCTCTGCCGTTCACCTGGGCGCTCCTGCCCTCCAGCTCCCTGAGTCCCTTCTCTGCCCCCACCTGCTGTTGAGCCCGTTCACTGCATTTCTTGTCTCGGTTATCTTTCATTTCTAAAATTTCCATTTGGTTCTCCTCTATATTTTCCATTTGTTGAGATGTTCTACTCTTTCCTTTGTTCCAAGCGTGTTCAAACTGCTCACTGAAATATTTTCACAGCTGCTTCGCAACCTTTGTCAGAAAACCCTGACATATGTGCCATCTCAGGGCCAGCTTCTATGGCGTGCCGCTTACATTCACTCTGGGGCTTTCCTGGTCCTTGGCATGCCAAGGGACCGGAAACCTGGACATTCTGGTATCATGCAGACCTCTAGGTTTGCCTAGGTGCCCGACACTGCTGGGGGGGGGGACTACTGTACTGCGGGGAGGGACAGGTGTTCAGGCTCCTGGGGGCCCCCAAGGACACAGGGTACTCACTACTGCCTGGGGAGGAGTCCCGGCTCCCCACCCAATCACCCTGGGGTGTCGTTACAGGATCAGCCAGAAGTCCAGGCTCTCCAAATCCCAGGTTCAGCGTGCGAGGCCACATAGTCACCGGCTGGTGAGTCACTGGCCCACAAGGCAGGCTCCTGTGCAGCCACATGTCTGTGCAGCGGACGGATGGGAAAGATGAACATCTCTAGCTTGTCAACCTTAAAGACAAATCATCGCCACCCTCATCGTTCCACCCTTGAGGTATGGTTTTCAGTGTGACTTTGTTGAGTCTGATGAGTGTCCTGTAGCTCAGAAGACGGCCCTGTGCCCGGCCAGGCGGGAATCAGTCTGTCTCCTGCTGTCACCAGGAGGGTGCTGTCCCCAAAGTCCCGTGCAGATGAGACGGCAGAGCATGCACTCACCTGTGTCCAGCTGCTTTCTCTGTCCTAGTGGGTGGTGCTTCATTGCATGCCACCAGCCACTGTCCTTCCCCTGCCAGCTGAGGGACATTTGGACTTTTCCAGGCTTTGGTCATCACAAATACAGCTACGGAAGTTCCCGTGCAAGTGTGTGTGTGGACGTGGTATTTTCACTTCTCCTGCGTGAACACCCAGGAGGAGGACTGTTGGGTTGCAAGGTAAGTGCATGTTTGATTTTGTGAGAACCACCATGTGGTCTGCTGGGGCAGTCTGCACCTGGTGTGTTCCCAGCAGGTAGAGCCTGAGCTGCCCCACACCTGCTGGCCCCCGACGGTCGTCTCTACAGCCGGCTGTGCCGTAGAGTCTCGCTGTGGTTTGTGTGTTTCCCGATCACCAATGATGTTGAATACATTTTCTCGTGCTTCTTGGCCATTGTTATATTTCTTTTCTGAAGTATGTTCATACCTTTAACCTTTTTAAGAATACTGAGTTGTATATCTCCTTATCATTGGGTGGAAGATGATTGAAATTTCCAGACACAAACCTTTTGTTGGATATACGTGGAGGAAGTGTTCCCTCCCTATCTGCCTTCATAGCTGATGGCTGCTGTCTTTGGAAGAGCAAACACTGACTTCTGATGAAGGCCACTTTGTCAGCTGTTTCTCTGTTTCACACTTTTGCGCCTGAGAGATCTCCCCTCCCAAGACTCTAAGGCCCTATGGCTGTCAACTCTGAAGTTTCAGCGTCATTCCTTCTCTGAGGCAGCCGTCCCCACGGCCTGGTACCCAAAGTCTAAAAACAACTGTCTCACGTTTGGATCGTTTTCCATGTGACCAGGCCTGGAGGACGGATCGTTTCCTGTGACTACAGTCGTGGCCGCGGCAGCAGCTCCAGCAGACCCTCCTGATGAGCCATGGGGCCCACACTCTCCCGTGGTCCTGGGGAGGCTCCCGTAGGACCCCTGACCCTCCCCAGCCCTGAGTTGCGACTGTCCCTCCTGACGCCACTCACCTTCTCGGTGCCCAGTCATGATGCTGAGTGAGTGCACTTGCTGGCTCTCTGGGTGAGACACACGAAAGCATCTCCCCTGCGGACCTCCCACCCACCACCCTCAGAGCAGCGATGCTAAGAAAATCGCAAGTGTCTCCTTCAAGCGACGGACACTTGGAGCAAGCGCACACGCGTTCTGAGGGGGCAGCAAGTCAGGCAGGCCTCGGGGTGTAATCCCATTAACTCAGGCAATATTATTTAAAGAATAATCTTACAGCCCCCAAGTTTTCCTTTTATGTTTCAAATTCATACTTTTAAAAACCTGAAAGGAAGTTAGAACGGTTGTGCTTCTCTGTGACCTCTAAGGAAGAAACGCACTGTTGAAATGTAATTGGAGACACTGCGCAAATTCTATACTATTTAAAAGTAATTAATGTAACAATTATTGTAAAGATTTAAGCAACAGGAAAACTTAATTCAAAAAGGGTTAGAGCTTTTGCACCTCTAGGGTTCTCACTGGTTTTGGACGTGCCCTACGTCACACCAGTGGAATCAATGAAAAGCTGAGAACGTCAGTTCAGACCCTTCTGCGATCCCCCTCACTCACATGGGCTGTGCCTTGGTGGGTGCTGGGCATGTTCTTTGGTCACACAGAAGAGCTCACGCGGCCAAGAGCCTGGGGCCCGTGACAGAGCTTCCTCACGGCCGTGAAGGGGAGTCTGTAATGTCACCCCTGAGGAAGCTTTTCTGGGGTTGGGTGGCCACCCACTAAACTGCACCGAGAGGCCCATGAAGTGGGCATTGGAGCCAGGACACGGGGGCGGGGCAGGAGCAGGCTTCGGACACACGAGGGTCCACCCAGCCTGTCACGACCTGTTCCCGGTACAGGCGGGTGTATGTGCTGGTTTGTGCAGGTGAGGGTAGAGGCGGAGCTGCGGAGACCGCAGCCACCCACAGCCTGGCTGTGCTGAGACTGGGGGCCCAGCGCCTGCCAAGGCCTGCCCTTCTACAAACTCATGTCCACGGCAGGCCCACGCTGCAGCGGACTTCACTGTGGGCACAGAAACCCGATGCAAGATGGCACCTGTCCTCACGTCCCAGAGAGCACACGGGAGGCAGAGCCGCCGGGCAGGGACACTGCGGGCTGGGGCTTCCAGGGCGGAGGCAAGGACAGTGAGCCGGCCGGCGCAGGCCCCTGCCGCAGCCCAGGAGGCAACAGCACTCTGGGGTTTTCTCAGGAGAACAGCTCTCGCCGGCCGCAAGGACGCAGTCTCACTCACCCCACCATGAGGAATCCCTGGTACAGAGGCACCGAGGCGAAGTAGAAGACGGAGGAGAACACAGCCTTGAAGAGAGAACACCTCGGGTTACAAGACGGTCGCTGGCCATGGCTGGGTCATCCTGTGCGCAGGCCCAGAGCCCCGTCACCAACACCCCACCCACCACCGCCCCACCCGACACGCGCAGCCACCCTCTCCCGGGCGCTCCCCGCATGCCCGAGCACAAGGTGGCACCTGCATGGTGGAGATGACCAGGCCCCGGTGCATGACCAGCTGGCCGAGCGCCGCCGACCGCTTGTAGCTGTTGCGCCCATGCACCACGAGCAGCCGGCCGACGTGCCTGAACTGCGTGATGGAGAAGTCGGCTGCCAGCGAGGCCTGCTTCCCCTCCTGCAACGGAACACAGGCGCCACTCAGGGACCGCAGACGCTGGCCGCTGCGCTCTGAAGGCCGAGCTCTAGAACTCAGCCTAGATGAAGGTAGGACTGAAGCCCTTTCTGCACAACTGTGGAAGCTTCAGCCAATGCAGGTGTGAGGGCCATGCGTGGGCCCAGCCAGCAGGCACCTGCCCCAGGGTGCTGCGGTCTGCATGCAAAGCAGGTGCTCGCCAGCTGGGGGCGTCACGGAGCTCGACAGAGAGGCAGAGCTGGCCGCCGTGGATACTCCCCTGTAATCCTGGGCTTTTGCAAGACAATTCTACAAACCTCAGATTTCTCACAATTTAAAAAACACTCCATCTCCTACTTCGCAAAGGTGTTGGGAGGTCTTACAGAACAAAGTTGCCAAGGAAGGAGCTAAGCATGCCGGTGCTAACTGTCCAGGGCTTCCTAGGCACGATTTCATGTAAGCGACTGCAGGAGGGGATGGGAGTGTCACTCAGGCTGGCGTGAAGCAAACCTCAACCCGCAGCTCAGGTGGCCAGGACACGCAGATATGCGGACAGAGCGCCGTGCGTGAGCAGGAGTGGCGCCGTGGTGCCACAGCAAGGTTTGCTGGGGGATTCAGCCGGGGCTTAGCCGAGCCCTCAGCGAGGCGCCTAGACTGGTGTTTCCACGCGCCGCTCTGGCAGCAGGGACGTGGTGTACTCTGGTGGCTGGCAACCGGCCTGTCGTGAGGGTGAGCCCCGCCCCCCAGAGTGGAGGACAGCCGGCAGCTCCTCTGCCACTCGGGCAACCCCGAGCCCCACAGACCAGATTCTTCAACACGTGCCACCCAGCACACAGCCATGCACGCGTGCTCATGATGTGAGTGACTGAACTCTTGCTGACTGTGTGCTGGCCGAGTGGGGGGCACACGCACCTTTCCTTCGATCCCGATCCCGCAGTCTGCCGCCTGGATCATGCTCACGTCGTTTCCCCCGTCACCTGGAAGAACGAGAAGTTGTGCAATTAAAGAAGACACCTGTCTCCCATCCCACGTGTTTCTTTTTTCCAGTACGGGCCTTTAAACAATACCCATAACGTCGATGAAATCAACCTAGCTTTAGAGACGGCATGCAGTTCTGTGCATAAACATCAGGACATCAGCTTCCTTAAAGCGTCACTGTCGACAGTGGACGTGGCACTTCCCATGTCCTCAGCAGGAGCGGGGCTGCGGGCGGGGGCGGCGTGCTCACCGATGGCGCAGGTGCGCCTCCCTGTGTGCTGCTGCAGCAGCGTCACGATGCGCGCCTTCTGGGTGGGCGAGCAGCGGCAGCATACCACGGCCGGGCACTGGCAGGCCAGCTCCACGAACTCGTGCTCGTAGTACTTCAGGCACACCTGCGGGGGGGGCTGCGCTGTGACTCGGGTGCACCTGATAGCGTCCCTGCACCATGGCCCCCCACTGACATCCCTGCACCATGGCCCCCCCACTGACATCCCCGCACCACAGGGCAGCACTACACTGCAGTGGTGTTTTCCTCTCGGGTCGCAGCTCCAGGACCCACAGCCACCGTGCTTCCCTTCCTGTCCTCCCTGTGTCTGTGGCCATGGAGTCCAGAGCTGTGTGTGCAAATCCGGGGGCCTCTCAGCGCTCGTTCTGAGTCTTCCTCCCTGGGGGCGTTTCTATTCCCTGCTCTTACCCTCCCTTGCCCTGTACTTTCTCATCACGTAATTTTTATTCTCATATAATACGTGTTTTCTTGGTTAACATCTCAACCCTTTCTCTAACACATGAGAAGAACATAAAGCAAAGAAAATGCCACGTATCAACCACCAGAAACCGACCAACCAGAGTCGCGACTATCACACTGGGAAGAAGACAGCAAGGAGGGAAGAAACCCTCACCTCGCACAGCAGGAACCGGACAGATGCCACCAAGAACTTTAAGAGTCAGGCAAGGGCCAGCCCATGCCTGTGATCCCAGCGCTTTGGGAGGCTGAGGCGGGAGGATCGCTTGAGCCCAGGAGTCTGACACCAGCCTGGGCAATGCAGCGAGACCCCGCCTCTACAAAGACCAATAACCCAGACTTTAAGAAAGGAAGTGCCAGTGCTACAGACACTGCGAGCAGAGCCGTGGAGGCAGGTGCCAGAACCCGAGGCCAACAGGGGTCCCACGTGTGTGGGGGGCGGGGGGCAGGGAGGCGGCGCCCACACGCTCTGCTTGACCCACACGCACAGCAAACACGCAGCGCAGCGCTGCACCGCGGGACAGGAACGTGCCACCGCCTGGGAAGAGGAGGACGGGCGTGGCATCTGGTGGGGTCGCACGGCGAGACGACGGGACTGCCCCACGAGGGCCTGTGACCCTCCGAGGGGACAGCGGGGGCAGGCCTGTGCAGAAGGACGGGCCTCCCGACTGCGCTCAGCAGGGGTGGAGGAGACGACTATACCTTGGGTGCAGGCCGCTGCTGTCCATCGAGACTGTGCCTGGACGCGCTGCGTCAGACCCACGGAGAGGGAAAACCTCGTGTGTGGGAGAATTCCCCACGACACGGAGCCGCCCTCCCTCCTGCCAGGGGCGCACCCACTCTGAGTGCCAACTCCATCTGCGCTGCGGCGCGACCTTCCGCCCAGGGCCTGCGGCTGCTCGACGGGAGCCTCCACCACACTTCCCACCCGGAGTCCTGCTGCCTCCCTGGCCACACCTGCCCAGCCAACACCAGACAACAGCCATGGACGGCCCGGTCGGCCCTCCCTGGCCTCTGCATCCGTGTCTTGTGTGGTCTGTCTTGGACCTCTACTGACCGCAGGGGCTCTAGGACTCTCCCAAAGGGGGCACAGTGCCAACTCCACTAATTCGCTTGACCAGAGAGTGCATTCCTCCCGCCCCACCAGACAGCCCCGAGTCCCAGGGCGCACTCTGAAGCACTGGTCTGGGTATATGCAGACCAAGACTCACAGTGGCACGGCCAGGCCTGCAGGTGAGCCAAGCTGCTGGCCGCGAGCAGAGAGGCCCAGAGAGGCCCCTGGATACGTCTGAAATCAACCTCCAAGCACTACGGAAGAAATCATCACTTGGCCACTGACATTTCTTTAGGTTGCGACTACCTGCCAGGTTGCAGGTACCACTGCTGTGACGGGGAGAACCGTCTAGAAGTCACAGAGGTGGGCAAAGCCCCCAGTCTGCTGGCGCAGACAGACAGGCACACGTGGCAGTGGGACGGCCTCACCTCCAGAGAGTCCCCGGAGATGACCAGCGCACAGTCCTGCCTCCTCCTCAGAGCGTTCAGCTCCAGGTGGGCCTCTCCTCGACTGGAGACCTCCACGCAGGGGGAAAAAGGAACCGAGTTAAAACGCTGTCTAAGCTAGATGCATAGAGAGGACGTTACCTGCAGAATCGCAGCAAGATGTTCTAGACCTCTCTGTTACCTAAAAACTGAAGGTGCGTGACACGTTTAGACCTATAACAAGGTCCTTTCAGACTTCTCTTACAGTGCTGGGCACGTCTCACTGCTTATTCACACAGACTCTTTTCTGATTTGTGGCAACTAAGAATAGTAAATGCACAGCGTAAAGTGTAATGAAAACACCACACTTTGGTGAAATTCATATAAAAGGGCGCCTATGAGTGACTAATCACCATTGCATAGTTGGGAAGGGTCACTGGCTTTGAGGAATACATTCCCATAAGATACGGCAATAATGATCAAGAATGTTCTAGCAGTCCACAAGGCAATGACTTAGCTGAGTGCAGGGCTGGAGGTGGCAGGTGCAGGGAGCTGCACTGCCGAGAGCCACCGACGCAGGACACCTGGCAGGTCCGCAGGGCTGTGGCTCAGCAAGTGGAGGGCCGAGCCCCGGGCAGGCGAGCTCCTCGTTGCCATACAGCAGGTAAGAGACGGAATTACCTCCGATCAAGATTTTATTTAAATGCATCTCTTTTCATATTAAAAAGTCGAATGATATGAAGCATTTTTATAAAATTGCTTCTGTTGTCTCTGCCATGGGTTTCAAGGTATTCCATTAGTTTTTGTTTAGCATTGGAAGAATTTAAAAAATCTGAGAGTAAAATTAAGTCATAATCTTGAAATATCACTAATTTTAGAACGAAAACATTTCAAAAACCAGTGAACTAGTTTTTGACATCCTTCCTGTGGAGATTTTATGGGGCATGAAAGAAATGATGTATTATGAGAACGAAATAAATTAAAGCTTCATGTGGCTCAAATTAACAATCTCAGACTTATCTTTAAATAGGTAGGTTTTATTGTGAAAAATTTAATTTGTGGTGCTATAATACTGAAAAGTCAACAAAAATTGATCTGAAGTTTTATCAGAAGCATTAATAATTTAATTGCAAATAGTAGTCTGCAGGGCCTAATTTGCGATTCTGATGCTTCAAAACAAACTGCATTTACATGTAAATTATATTCGAATAACTGCTTCTGTAGGTGCAAGTGCTTCATTTGGGACAGACACAGACGAGCGGCGTCTGCTCACCCACCATCAATCAAGACCCAGGAAATTTTTATTTTTTGTTTGAATTAAATTTAGTTATAACTAATACAGTAAACACATAAATTTAGATTATTTCTATTAATTTTCTTTGAGCTAATTAAGGAAGAGCATTTACTCTGAAAATGGCAGTAGATTAAAAACATACCCTCATTTTGTATTTAGAGCTTGTTAAACAAAAGCAGCTCTGGACACATGTACTGTGTGTAACTGACAGAAAAATGTGATTTTTTAAATCAATGTACATTTTATGAATTGAATAGAAAATGACTGCAGTATGTCTATTTAAAAATATATAGTAATAAATAACAATAGCAGTATAACACCAAAATCCTTTTGCAATTTTGGAGCTTGTTCACCCTATCTAAAAGCAGCTTTTGATCACATTTAATATTTGTAACTAATAGAAATCTATTTTAAAATATTTTATAATTAAGAAATCAATCACATTTTTTAAAAAGATATTTAGTAATAAATAACTATATATACATTCTCACAAAAACAATAGACTTTAACTGGAGATAAAACACTCAAAAGTTCCAAGTGATTTAGATACATACTCACTTGTTTGAAAATGTGAACATCTTGTGCTCTGGACACCAAATGCGAGCTCTTGGCGATGCAAGTAGCCGTCTCAAGCTTGTCGCCCGTGAGCATCCATATCTGTGAAAGAATGTACACAGGTGAACGCCAACAACATGACGACACTGCCATCTCTTACCCATGCCCGTCCTCGAACAGACACCTGCACACACACGGCCACTGCAGCGCTGTTCACAGCAGCTGGAGGTGGGCGCCACGCCTGTGTCCACACAGATAAGTGGACAAGCGTGGTCTGTCCACACAGGGAACAGTGTTCAGCCCCGCAGAGGAAGCGTGTTCTGACACAGGGCCCCTGCGGAGGAGCCTTGAGGGTATGACGCTCAGTGAAGTCGTCCGTCATGACAGGACAAATCCAGTGATTCCACTCCCAGGAGTCCCCAGGACTCCGACTCTCGGGACAGAATGAAGGTGGCGACGCCAGGGGTGGGGCAGGAGGGTGCGTGTACAGTGGGCGCGGTTTCAGTTGGGAAGATGGAAAACGAGACGGACAGGGTGATGCCGCACAGTGACGTGGACGTGCCCACAGCCAGTGAACTGTGTGCTCAGAAATAGCTAAAATGGTAAATTTTATGTCGTGTCCATTTTACCGCCACAGACAAGCATCTGGCCTTGCTCAGCTGAAGCAAGAACGCGCACGGCGGAGCCCGGACATGGCAGCCGAGACCTGGGGGAGCTCGAGCGACGCCACCCGGCCATCGCAGGCCGGGTCTGACACGGACGGCCGCGTGAGTCAAAGGCCGCGTCTGGGCCCCCTCCGCGACACGCACACAGGCCTGCACAGGGCATGCGGCCTAGGCCACCGGAGCTGGCAGGACCACGGAGACCTTCACTTCAACGTGCTAGTTTCTCAGGAAACTAGGTTCAGACAGGTAAATGGCCCACAGTTAAGCCAAAAGTTGCTTATATCAAATAAAACATCAAATTATACAACTTTTTTAAATCAAAATCCTACAAACACATGCACATATTATGTGTATCTATGTCCCCAGACTATAAAGAAAGTAAATATCAGGATACTTAATATATAATAGGATATTTTATATAACAACAAAAGTCTTCCATCAATATTCTTATTATTATCTGAGACTTTTAGATTCCTTATGTGTCATATAGAAATATGCATATCTGGAAATAGGAAACAGAAAGAAACTTATATGGTATCCTGATTATTTGCTTAGGTGCAATCTGTGGCTTTTCTTAATGTCTGAAAATTTGTGCTTTTTATTTACTTTGCACATTCCTATTCATGTTACTGGACCTCAGATCATGATACGTTATTATGACAAAGTTGACAGGAGCCAGCACTGTTGAGGGCAACTCAGGAAATAGCACCTTCAAGTTTCAGAGGAGTGTCTGCAGTCAGATTTTATCATGTGAAGAGATAAAAAGGGCCTGATCCTTTAGAAAGTAAATGTAAACACTAAAGAGAAATCAAGAAAGTTTTAAATAGTTTAACAAAGAATTAATATATTAGGTTATTAAATATGAAATGTCCAATTTCCTCAAATACTAAGTTTGACAGTTGATATCTCTGATATTTCACTTTGACACTTCTTGTTTCATTTCTGTTGTGAAGGTACATCCTCAGTCTTTCAAACAGGTTTTGGCTTGTGATTATCATTCATATTTTTTAGAGCAATTTTGGTGAAATCATAGATAAGTCAAAAATTCGTGTTATTTTCTAATATAGTTCCCTGGTGGAACCAACGGTGTGCTTGAAATATCAACAAAGTCTTTGGGAAGGATGTGGCATGGTAGGTCGATGCTTTGAGAAGTTCCATTCTGGTGATTTTCATCTCGAAAATAAGCCACGTGGGTGACCTGAGACCAAGGTGGATAATAATGAGCTGAAAGCTGTAGTGGAAGCGAATCCATCTCAACTTACCCATGAATTAGCAGCAAGGTTTGACTTTACTATTCCAACAATATTGGACCATTTGAGACACATGGGCAAGGTAGGGAAGCTGGATAGATGGTTCGACATGAATTAAACAAAAGTCAGAAGAGAAATCGTCTCGAGGCTTGCCTTTCTTTGCTGTCACAACATAAAGGCCAACTAGTTCTACACCATATCGTTACATGTGATAAAAGATGGATCGTTTTTGACTATCGCAAGCACTCGGCACACTGGCTGGATAAAGATGAAGTGCCGAAACACGGTCCAAAGCCAAATATTCATCACAAAAAGTTAACGGTGTCTGGTGATCCACTGCTGTACAATCCACTACAGCTTCATGAAACCTGGTCTGCAGATTACAGCAGATGTCTACTGCAACAAACTGGATAAACAACAAACTGGATGAGGACGCTTGTGATTAAGCAGCTGAGATTGGTCAGTAGAGACAGGCCAATCTTCTTGCAAGACAACGCTTGACCCTATGTTGCACAAACAACGCTGCTCAAACTACAGAGGCTGGACATGGAAACTCTGTCATCCGCTGTATTCACCAGACCTTGCACCAGGTGACTCCCACTTCTTCCAGGCTTTGGACCACTTCTTGCAAGGAAAAATATTTAATTCTCAACAAGCTGTGGAAAATAAAATGCCTTTTGTGATTTCATCTCCACTCACTCTCCAGGCTTCTTTGCTGCTGGCATAAACAAGTTACTGCTAAGACAGCAAAACCGTGTCAATAGTTTAGGTGCATACTTTGATTGTACTGTTCTTGTTTGAGATATAATAACTAACTTTTGATTCAAAATCACACATTTCATATTTAATGACCTAATAAATACCCAAATCTTTATACAAGGAACATTCACTACTTTAATATATTGATAATCTAGCCTGTATAATTAAGAAATAGATTGAAGTTTATTAAAAACTACAATAAAATGAACAAGTCATCTGGTTCTAATTAATCACATTTCTTAATTCATTTCTTGGCTGTACAATACAATCAGGGTTAGGTAATCAAACAGTTTGAATATGAATTGCTCTCTTGTAATTTTTAATTCCTGTTTGAACAATTCCTCTGAATCAGATACAGCCTCGTGACACCTTCTGCTACTACCTGGAACTGGTGCCAAGTCTTTCAAATCTCTGTGCCTGTTCAGATTCCTGGAGAATAAGGAACAGACACTTACTTTCTGTGCACGTCACGTCATCTTTACAACCTGCGGAATGTATTTTTGATCTGAAGTTAGGCACAGCTTTGCTTCCAACATATTCCTTCAGTTTTTTTTTTCTTTCTTTCGAGACAGGGTCCTGTTTTGTCTCCTGCGTAGAGCGCAGTGGCGTCATCATAGCTCACTGCAGCCTCCAACTGTGGGGCTCAAGTAATCCTCCTGCCTCAGCTTCCCAGAGTGCTGGGATTACAGGCGGGAGGCACCACGCCTGGCCTTTGCTTTTGTCTCTTTAATCTAGCAATATACAAGTTTTTCTTTTGAAACCAAGTTATGCTTTTTTCCATTCTCAAAAGTAGAGCCCCCAATCTTTGAGGCCGTACTAAAATAAATTTTCCCAACCAATCTGTAACTGAACTTTTAGCTTCAGTGGGAATGTGTGAGGTAAGAAAGTTTTCTGAAAGATAAAACCAGCACAGAGTGCTAACCCTCACACGTGGAGAGAACGTGTCAGTGAGACAGACAGCAGAAGCAGGTCAGTGGGAGGGGAAGGCCATGGCCACGAGTCCAGGGAAACCAAAGGGCTCGAAGATGCTAGCCCTCCCTCGTCACACAAGAAACGTAATGCGGCTTTCACAGACAAGGCCAAACGGCTAGACAATGAGCAGCTGGAGGAGACGGGCACTGCCCGGGCGTGGGGAGGCGGGAGCGGGTGGCCTGGGGACAGGGGTGTCTTCCCGCCAGCTCTTCACAGTGCACGCACCAGGAGCCAGAGGGAGGAAAAGCCCGTGTGCGTCTGTTCACGTGTCTGGGCATCCCTGGTGAGCCCGGCCGCTCTCCCTGCGTGTCCTTCTGCACCGAGTTCATGACAGTAAGGACACACCAGTGAAATGCATAAATGAAACAGAGGAAGTGTGTGTGCCCCTCACACTGGCATTGGGCTCTGTCCATGGCGAGCAGCTCTTAAGAACAAGGTGATGCCCAACAGGACAAACTCACGGCCCACGTGTGGTCAGACACGTGCCGTGGGCCACTAGTGCTGCCGCACCGGATGACACGGAGCCCTGAGAGCTGTCCTGGAGATGTGGGCATGGGGAGGCCGGGCTTGACCCAGGACACCTCGGCTCCGCCGTGCACAAGCCCAGGTGGGACAGGCAGGAATCAGGGTGCACGGCTGACCCTGAACCAGCTGTAGATGCCTGGCTGGGCCACACGTCCCACTGGGGTGCGTGTCTGCCAGGAAAGGGCGTGGCAGGTGTGTGCGCATGAAGGGAAGGGCCGGGGCTCCGTGGGAGCAGAGGCGCAGAGAGGAAAGCCTGTGGCAGCACACGTCTCCCGTAGCCCGAGGACAGCAGGGAGGGCGGCTCTGTCCTCAGGCTGCCTCGTGTCCAGGAGCCACTGAGAGTCTTAGACCACACTGCCTAGGACCAAGCACGGTTTGCCTGATGGGAAGCGTCTGCGTGCTTGCACGAGCACGCCGTACCTTGATCCCCGCATTCCGCAGCATCTCCAGTGTGGGCCGCACGTCCGCCTGCAGCTGGTCCTCCACCCCCGTGAGGCACAGCAGCTCCATCTCCCGCTCCAGGCTCTCGACCACCGCGGCCACCTTGAGGGTCCTGTCGTGCAGGCTCAGCTTGGCCTGGCTGTATCGGCTCTGTGGACAGAGAGACACCATGTGTACACGCGTGTGCACGCTGTGTGCACTCCACACAAATGGACTATATCAGCACTATGGACAGAGAGATGCCCGTGTGCACACGTGTGTGCACACATGCGCTCCATGCATGTGCTCCACACAGATGGACTGTATCAGCCCTATGGACAGACACCTGTGTGTACATGCATGTGTGTGCTGTGTGCACACCACACAGATGGACTGTACTGCCTCTGTGGACAGAGACACCCGTGTGCATACATGTGCATGCTCTGACTGTGCTAAGCGTGTCTGCTCTGTAACTGAGGAGGTGGGCACCTGAAAATTCACAGTATTAAGGACACTCTGTGGTGGCTGGTCTGTGACACCCGCTCCCAGGACTGCAGGAAGGCACAGACAGAAACTGGCAGGGGGTCAGTCCAGAGCCTGCCCAGACGAAGCTGCCTCTGCCCCAAGGCTGGAACGATGCCAACTCAGTGTCACACGAAGACAGCAAAAACTCTGCATTAGCCGAAGCAGGAGAGAGGGACATTACCCACGATGGGACGCCCGGAGCCAGCTCACCTCGAAGTCCTGGTACTGCTCCTCCGTCAGCGACCTCTTGGCGACCACGAGTGTCCGCAGCCCTTCCCGAGCCATGTTCCCGCACTGGAAAGGAGAGGTGGTCACATGGGGTCCCACAGGGCCCTCTGACCGTGCGTGAGGGCTCAGCACCGCGCTCTGGGGACCACCATGGCCGTGTGTTCACGTGTCCCACGGACAGCACTGAGTGTCCATGGACAGAGAAAGGCGGGGAAGAGGTGAACATAAAATGCAGATTACAGGGTAGCTGTTCTTCATGAGATGGAAGCTATGCTTGATCACTAAAGTGACATACAGGATTAGAAGAGTGCTGATTTTATATAAAACTTATCTGAGTCTACCAATCAGATGAGTGGGCGTGAGCAGAGGGGGAGGGCTCACCTGGAGTAGGGGCTAAGACCATGGATTTAAAACCAGAGGGCCGAGTCTGGCAACTGTTTCTGCCAGGTTCCACCCCAGTGTTCGTGAGTGAAACACCTAATCTTTCTGCTCCTTGGTTTTATTGGCAGACGCAGTTAACAGCAGCATTGTCCCGAGACTGACAGCCAACAAGAGCCCTTGCAGTGTTTCAATTCGCATTTCCCTGGCCAGGTGTGGGAACCTGCTGCCGCAGTGCTGTGAAGGACAGAAATGGGGCACGGGCCAAACCCCAAAGCTCACCTGCCCTGCCCTGTGGTCAATCTCAGGACAGGGACAGCGAGCCCCGCCCAAGTCCCAGGACCAATCTGCATGTTGAACCAAGAAATGGAAACACATTCAGTATGCACAGTCACAGGGGGAGCCAAAATAACATTAGGTTATTAAGTACAAAGTGTCCAATTTCCTTAAGTACTAAGTCTGATAGTTGATCTCTCTGACATTTCACTTTGACACTTTTTTTTCTCTCTTGTGAAAGTGCATCCTCATTCTTTCAAACGCATATTTTGGCTTTTGATTATCTACTGAATTATTTTTTTAGAGCAATTTTTGTAAAACCATGGATAAGTCAAACATTTGTGTTATTTCTGAGTATGAGTTCCACCGTAGAGCCTACAGTGCAGACAGCTTGAAATATCAACAAAGTGTTTGGGAAGGATGTGGCTGACTAATGGACGGTAGTGGAGGGTTTGAGAAGTTCCATTCTGGTGATTTTCATCTCAAAAAAGAGCCCCACGGGCAACCTGAGACCAAGGGGGATAATGATGAGCTGAAAGCTGTAGTTGAAGTGAAGTCATTTCAACTTTTGTGTGAATCAGCAGCAGGGTTTGACGTTACTATTCCAACAATACTGGACCATTGAAACAAATGGGCAGGTAAAGAAGCTGGATAGATGGTTCCACATGAATTAAACGAGTCAGAAGATAAATTGTCTCGAAGCTTGCCTTTCTTTGCTGCCATGACATAAAGGCCAACCTGTTCTACACCGTATCGTTATATGTGATAAAAGATGGATTATTTTTGACTATTGCAAGCATTCGGCACAATGGATAGATAAAGATAAAGTGCCGACACAGAGTCCAAAACCAAATATTCATAAAAAAAAATCTAACGGGTGTCTGTTTGGTGGGCCAGTGCTGGTATTATCCACTGCAGCTTCATGAAACCTGGTCACTTGATTACAGTGGATGTCTACTGCAACCAACTGGATGAAATAATGAGGACGCTTGTGATTAAGCAGCTGAGATTCGTCCATAGAGACAGGCCAATCCTCTTGCAAGACAACGCTGGGCCACACATAACACAAATAGCACTGCTCACACGGCAGAATCTGGACTTGGAAACTGTCTGTCATCCACCATATTCACCAGACCTTGCACCAACTGACTGCCACTTCTTTCTGGCTTTGGGCCACTTCTTATAAGGAAAAATATTCAATTCTCAACAAGGTGTGGAAAACAGTCTTTGGAAATTTCATTGCCACTCTCTCTCTAGGCTTCTTCGCTGCTGGAATGAACAAGCCACTGTTAAGATGGCAAAACTGCGTCGATAGTTTAGGCGCATACTTCGATTAACTGTATTATTCCTTGAGATATAATAATTACAATTTTGATTCGAAATCGGACATTTCACATCTGATCTAATAAAATGCCATCTCCTCACCAGAGGTAAAGATCCAGCAGTGTCAGCTGGTGGCAGACTGGGCAGGCTCTCAGGACCAGGGCTGCCGGCAGAGCCAGAGCAAACATGTTTGGAGCTAATGACAACGTCCCCAAATTTAAACTGCACAAATTCTACTCCTGGAAGTTTAACCTGTACTTCCAAAAGCATACCACGATGTCCGTGCACGGTCAGGCCCTGCCATAGTGTTTATGTGGACAGGGTCGGGTTGAAAACACTTTTGCTACGTGACTCACTGCCCCTCGGGTCCCGCCTGACACCCACCAGCCAGAAGGAACGTGCAGGGCTGCTGGAGCCAGTCCCGGGGCCATCCTGGGCTGTCTTCTCACCTGCAAAGTGAACCCGGTCCCTCCCTCTGGACAAGTGACCCGAGGGGAAGCCTAGCAGGGCTGCCTGCAGATGAGTGACAGTGCATTCCCGAGACTCGGGGCCGTCCCCTGGGGCCAAAGCAGTGCCGGCAGAGAAGGAGCAGGGCCAGTGAGGCAGATGGAGGCTGGAGGGGCAGGGGTAGGGCTCCTGGGGCTGCAGACAGGAGGGACCCACGTGTGGGACGGGAGGGTGCTGGGCTCGGTGATGGCAGAGGCAGGACTGGTGTCAGGGACCCCTCCTGGGGAGCAGCGCGGAGCTCCTCCACCACGTTCGGCAGGGCAGGGCGCGCAGGCCGTGCAGGCCGTGCGGGGCCTGCTTCACGGGGACAGACACGTACAAGAAGTTCTGAGAATGCCTGCGAGCCTAAGCTTTAAAGCTGGTGTCTATAAATAATACATTTTACAAATGTAATGAACACTCCACTCCACTGTCTGAACTGTCAATTTCTGAAACTGACAGTTTCTGCTCATCAAGAATAACGTCCTCGAAGGGTCCCTCGGGGACTCTTGCCCGCAGACAGGGCTGATCTCCGCCTGCAAGGTCCGGGGACGAGCCGTCTCAGCTCCCCTCACCCAGTTCCTGTCGACCGCCTCCGGATTTCAGATACTGCAGAACCATTCGGATTTTAATGTTTTTAGACTCCTGTCTCCAGCATGTTCAGCCTATTTTTGCATCTGGGGTTGACAATGCAGAGAAATCAGTGGTGATCACGTCTTCCTCGAAATTCCAAGAACTTTCACAGCCCAGGCAAGATGCTCCTAGCTCCAGTCCAAGGGTCCCGAGATGAAGGCAGTTCATGGACACAGACCCAGCAGATGCGGTGCCATGCCTGTCACCACGCTCTGTCACCTACTGTCACCATGACACACAGAGAGAACAGTCTTCTAAAGGTAATTTTAGCAAACTTCCAGGGGGAGAGAACTCTGTGTTATAGCTAGAGGATAACCAATCAAAGATATTATTTCCACTACACATTTAAAAATGTAAGGTTGGGCTGGGCGTGGTGGCTAATATATACAGAAAAAATTAGCCGGGCATGGTGGTGGATGCCTGTAGTCCCAGCTACTCGGGAGGCTGAGGCAGCAGGATTGCTTGAGCCCAGGAGTTTGAGGTTGCTATGATCTAGGCTGACGCCACGGCACTCACTCTAGCCTGGGCAACAAAGCGAGACTCTGTCTCAAAAAATAAATAAATAAATAAAATAAAAATGTAAGGTTGATAATGCGACCATGTACTTAAGCAAGTACATTCTGAACAAATTAATTAGCTACTATTTTTAATGAAAAGAAAATCAAACGCCAGTAAACCTGGGTATGCAACGTTACGACTAAATTGAAGAGTCCAGTGTGAGGTGAAGGGATGCAAGAGCACCCCACAAAGGCTCTCGCAGCTCTCTATAGGGCTCACGCGTGGATGCAGAGGCTCGCGCTGCGGCTGCCGAGAGAGCAGAGACCGGGCCCTCGCCTTGCACCGTCCAGGAAGAGCCCTGGCAGGAGATGGGCACCACCGCACCACACCTGCAAACCCACCGGGACATACGAACACGCACACCCTGCCCCGTCACCACCAGCTGTGTGTCCTGCCCAGGCGCCTCCTTTGGGAAATGGACAGTGATCTTTGCAGGGTGAAGGGTCAGGGAGACAACGGAGGTGACGATCACTGAGTGCAGCGGCGAGGCTGTGACCCTGTTACGCCTTCTGCACTTCCCCATCTTAACCACAGCTGACCTCAAACAGCGTTAGTCTGAACCGCTCGGGTCCTGCATGTGGATTTTCTTCCGCCTCTACCACCCCAGAGTCAGCACCCCCCCCCACCAGCCTCCTCAACGTAAAGATGAGGAGGGGAAAGACATTTATGATGATCCAACCTCACTAAAGAATTATAAATATATTTTCTCTTCTTTGGGCTTTTCTTTTCTGCAGCCTCCTTCATTGTAAGAAGATAATACACAACACATGTAATACACAAAATATGTGCCAATCAACTGTTACAGCTAAGACTTCTGGTCAACAGGAAGCTACTACTGGTTAAGTTTGGGGGGAGTCAAAGGTCATATGCAGAGTTTTGACTGTGGGGGGCGGGGTGGGAACTCCAACCCTGTGCTGTGCAGGGTCAACTGCACTTGTCTCCTTGGTGACACTGTGTCTAGGGTCTAATTCGAGTTTGTGCTCAGAGGGAGGGAAGCCACTCACCTCAACCCTTCATCCACCCAGAACAGCAAGACTTTAAGTCTGTTCATGGACTTACATATTCTTATCTTTCAGGTTTTCAAAAATTGGCCCTTTCTGTTATATGATGTGAAAAGTTTTGTGTTCTTTTTAAACATATAGAGGACAAGAGTTTATAGCCAAGAATCCAACTCTGGGGAGCTTGCTTAAAATAAAATAATTCCCTATAAACTCAGACTCTGAGAACCTGCTGTTCTATTCATTTCTTATAGTAAAGTAAAAGGCTTTCAGACTATAACAGTAGTCTACAAAGACATCGGTGAAGAGTCAAAAGATTTATCTATGGAAAGAAAATACAATGTTGAGAAAATAAATGTACATAGGATTTTTAATAAAGTTATCTTTGTGAAAAACAATCTGACATTATCTGTCTGTTGCAAGACATTTATTGATTTGACCTCATAAAGCTAAATAAATTAAACAAGTATTTTACAATTAATTGCACATCATTATGACCAAAAGTAATTTTTATGGCATTTTACTAGGTCTTCAGGGAGTTTAATTTATTCATGTCCATGATTAAATCAAAGAGCCCTGAGGAAGTATTGATTCATATTGCCAATATCACTATGGACATCGGGGCGTGGCTGCCGTGCTGACGGGCCATCTGTGAGGTCCGAGGGCCGGACGAGAGATGAGTGAGCACCAACACTAACGCACACAGTGACAAGGGTCATGTTTATCATCATCATGATTTTAATTCTACTCTGAAATCAGCTACCAGAGGCTAACTACAAATCATATTTATTTAGGGAGCATTTAATGAAATATAGGATTGCTTATATTTATATTTTATTTCTATTTTAAGTGAATCTTACGTACTAATTAGCATTAGATTGAAATTTTAATTAAAATCTTGCAAATATTTAGGTTACAAATGAAATAAATATATTAAAATATAACTTTGGTTACATATACAATGTTAGCTCAGAATTCTATAGTGAATGATCATTACTATTTTTTCCACTATTATAAATAAGGACCTATTTTTATATATCTATAGGTATTCACACACAAAACAAAAACAGTTACTTATATGGAAAGAAAGCCATTTATAATTAAACAGGACTCTTTTCTGCTAGGAATCTTTTCTGCTTTATGAAACTGAAAAGAACTGTATGCATTTAAAATCATTTAGTGGAAAAAATGATGCTGTCTTTGGCAACCTGTCAGTATCTAGATTGAAATTATGATGGCTCAACTTATTCCAACCATACCAGTGTCTACAGAGTGGGGAAAAGATCTATTTTTCAGTCATCTATTCAATAAATTTTATAGAGACATCCTGTACGATGTTACCAAGTAACTTACTCACCTCCTCTTCCAGCCAATCATTATACTGGACGATGGAGGACATGGCAACATCTGCGCCTTTCATGTAGAACGTGATTTCTGCCGTGGACTCATCCTGCAGTAGAATGAAAACGAACATGGCACATCGAGGCTGCATCACTCATGGCAAGCCTCTGCTGGCCGGCAGGGCCACAGGAGGACGTGGTGCTCGGGGCACGCAGCCCCTGCGCCAGCTGCCACTCGCCGGCCACCCAGAGGACCACGCCCGCCTGCCCTCCAGTGCTCCTGCAGTCGAGCTCTGAGAGCAGCTGCACATCCTGAGACACTACACTGATGTGCTTGAAATAACAGTCGTTAAGGGATATATGACTTGAGCTGACTAATTCTCTTAAATTTTCATAGTTTGATTGAATGTTTCATTGTTTAGTCAACTTCCAAGACATATTTTTGGAACATGCTAAAAAATATTAATAGAGGTACATCTCAGCAACTGTAATGGCCATGAGCCACTGTTAAGATAAAATCTTTGGTGTGCTGTTTTCGGTGCTTTTGAGTTGATTTCAAAAATTAACCAATCACACCTTTTACCGATTCTGCCTTAGTCACCTCAGGAAAGCTGTTCCACCTCAGGAGAACCCCACTAGCTTCCCAGCCATCAATGATTAGTTTAGATTTTAGTTTTTTGAAAAACTGTGACAAGCACAGGCATGTGAGTAAATATTTGACTTTTAAATTTCCTTTTAGGAAAGTTTTTTATATGTCTTGAAGTATCACCAAGGAGATACTGAGTGGCTGACCGGCCCCCACCCGCAGCAACCCGCCACGGCAGGTACCCTGACGATGACCCCCATGCGCTTGCTCTCGGAGGTAAATGGGAACATCTGCAGGATGCGGAAGGTGAGGATCTGGCCGCCGGGGGTCTTCAGCTGCATGGAGGCGAGGTCCCTGCTGACCAGGGTGAGGCCCACGCTCTCCGTCCACTGCACCAGGGCGACCTGTGGGAGACCAGCGACACGTGAGGCCACCGGTTGCCTCGGGAAAGCAGCCTAGAAGCAATGTGGCGGGCAGAGAGCTTGCCCAGGAGACAATTGCAGAAAAATGCATGATACTGAGGATGGTTTTTTTTTCTGTGGTCATGCCAAGTATGTACTTTTGTGAATGACACTTTTTTTTTGGTGGGGAGTTTTTTATTTTATTTTATTTTTTTATTTCGGCATATTATGGGGGTACAGATTTTAATAAATGTCCTTTCCCCCCTCCCCCCACAAGTCTGAGTTTCCAACATGACCATCCCCCAGATGTTGCACATCTCACTCGTTATGTATGTATATACCCGCCCCCCTCTCCCCCCCCCCCCGCCCTATACCCTATTACTGTAGTACCTATGTGTCCACTTAGATGCTACTCAGTTAATACCAGTTTGCTGGTGAGTATATGTGGTGCTTGTTTTTCCCTTCTTGGGATACTTGTGAACGACATTTTTATAGGTGAACAACAAGCAACATGACAGTCTTTGGTATTAATTTTTAAAATAAAGGTCATCACAGATCATGAAGACTTTCCTCTACAGTATGTGTTCACCAGCTCCCCAGAGCCAGGTGTCTCTCAACCCAGGTCGTGCGCTCAGTGGAAGGTCCCGCGGGCAGGAGTGAGTCACAGCATGCGTCAGGGTTCTTCCCACTCGATTCTAGGGACTCCATGAACGTGCCAACAGCGCGGATCTCACGTGTATACTGATTTCACTTCTAAAGTCAGAGATGACCTGGTGACCGATCGACTCTACAGTCAGCACGTCTCCACGCAGCACCTGTGAAGTCACAGGAGACGGGACGCCGAGGACAAAGGCCTGGGGCCCGGCCGCTGCCAAGGGCAGCTCTGCGGCCAGGTCTTGTCCGCTCCCTGGGAATCGGAACAGACACTTGCTGGTCGTACTGAGGCTGAAATGACATCAGCGTATTCCCTGGTATCTCTCAGGTACCAAAAATGGGAGCTTAATTCTCATTTATAACCATTTATTTATTTATTACAATTCAAAAATCAAAAGTAGAAAAATAATTTCTAAAGTTAATGATTTATGAATTGTATTTTATGACAATAAGTGTTTTCTAGAAAAAAGTTTGTCTTTGAAGGCAGCCTCATTACAGCAATTAATTAGTTAAAACGTGATAACCAATCCCATTAGGCAGTTAAAGAAACATCACCCAATGAGAATATGCATCGAAACGAACTGCCACTACTACTACGGAGGATCAGCGACTTCACCAGACAGAGCAGCCCACAGAACAGCTGTCCTCCTCAGGGGTCTCCTCTGCACAGGGACCGGCACGCTGCCGCCCCCTGCTGACACTCAAGGCTGGTGCTAGGAATCTGCTGACAGCGCAGTCTACCCTGGCGGGAGGAGCTCGATCCTGCCTTCAATTTTAACCACCACGTACGCTCTTAAAATTTATCTTGGGTTTTGAGAACTAAAATCACTTCAAGAACATTTTAAATTCTGTCTGGTGTCCAGGATATTTTTGTTGTTGTTATTGTTTTGGGATTTTTGTTTTTTTTTTTGAGACAGAGTCTCACTCAGTGGTGTCACTGTAGCTCACAGCAACCTCAAACTCCCGACATCAAGTGATCCTCCTGCCTCAGCCTCCCAGAGTGCTGAGATCACAGGCCTGAGCTACCTCGTCTGGCCCAGGATATTATTAATTCAATCTTAGTGTCTTCTGAAAACTCAAGAGAGGGTAAGCTTACACTCAGAGAACTCAGCAGCAAAGCTGTCAATAGCTCCAGTTTGAGGCCAGCTGCTCATGCAGGTCCAAGCTGGGCGAGCTGCTGCAGCCTGGCAAGCCCTGTGTCCTCATCTGCAGTGCAGCACTGATGGTGGCCACTGAGCGTCATTGCAGGGGCTCGAGACGCAACATCTGCAGGTCCCCTGCAGACTGCTCGGTGTGTCCACGCTGACAAAACGTGAGGGTCCTGTCCTTGCTCTTCTCACAGGAGCTCCTCACACCCGCTCTCTTGGGCAGATCAACAATCACATTTAACATCGGATTTCCTAAGTCATTCCACGCAGATACAACTACAGAACACTCCAGCACAGTGTTTCGAGTGTCTGAGGTGGCAGAGCCATTCCGAGGAGGGTGTGTGTAGGGAGAAGGCAGGAACACTTAGAGCTGAACATTGCCTAGGGCGATAGAGACGTTCTGTGGACTGCCGAGTCACGGGACAGGGCTGAAGACCAGTGTTCGATCCCCTGTGCCCGCTGGATGGAGATGCTTTGTCCCTCCCACTGACAGCTGTTCCCAGGCTCTCCTGGAATGGACACGCGCCTGCAGGTTTGTTCTAGAGAAATCCACAATGGACACTGCTGGCTTCTTGTCTGCTGGGTGACATGAATTTGCTCCCCAGCATTGTGGAGGATCTCACAAAGGAACTGGACAGACAAGCAGGCCTGTGGCTTTAGCATAATAAAGACACATATATATTCACACAGTTTTAAATGACCACAGCATTAAATCACACGTAGTCAAGGCATCAGGAAAAAAATTTACCTCAAAAATTTCTGATACTTTAAAAAGTTTACATAGTATAAAGTTGGCCTACTTGATCTAAACAAATTGATAAACAGCAGCATTGTAATAGCCAGGGACTTCGACAGAATGGAACAGATCCTCCAAGCAGAAAATAAACAAAGAAACAATGGACTTAAACAAGACTTTAGAACAAATGGACCTAACAGACATTTACAGAACATTCTATCCCTAAACTACCGAATGTAAGTTCTTCTCATCTGCTCATGGAACATTCTCTAAGATTGATCATATCCTAGGACACGAAACATATTTCAACAAATTTAGGAAAAGAGAAATTATACCAAGTAGCTTCTCAGACCACAGTGGAATACAACTGGAAATCAATTCCAACAGAAACACTCAACTCTACAAAAGGACAAGGAAATTAAACAACCTACCACTGAACAATTCATGGGTCAAAGAGGAATATAAGAAGAAAATCAAAAGATTCTTTGAACTAAATGACAAAGGAGATATAAGTTATCGAAATCTATGGGATTCAGCAAAAGCAGTCCTAAGAGAAAAATTCATAGCGGTAAATGCTGACAACCAAAAGATAGAAAGATCACAAATCAATAATCTAATGAATCAGGCTCAAGGAATTGGAAAAGGAAGAACAAACCAATCCCAAACCCAGCAGAAGAAAAGAAATAACTAAGGTCAGAGCAGTACTAAATGAAATAGACAACAAAAGAATTACATTGAAGGTTGATGAAACAAAAAGTTGGTTCTTTGAAAAGATAAATAAAAAAAAGTCCTGGACCAGATGGTTTCACACCTGAATTTTACCAGATCCACAAAGAACTGGTAAATATACCGGTACCTATACTGCAGAAATAATTCCCTAGTATCAAGAAGGAAGGAATCCTCCCAAGGCCAATATCACCTTGATATTAAACCCAGGAAAGGACACAACAATAAAAGAGAACTATAGACCAATATGCCTTATGAATATAGACGTAAAAATTTTCAATAAAATCTTAGCAAACAAAATTTGGCTGCAGATCAAAAAAATAATCTACCACGACAAGGTGGACTTCATCCCAGAGATGCAAGGATGGTTCAACATATGCAAATCTGTAAATGTAATTCACCACATAAACAGAAGCAAAAGCAAAGACCATATGATCCTCTCAATAGATGCAGAAAAATCATTTGACAAAATCCAGCACACTTTTATGATAAGAACTCTTAACAAAATAGGCATAGATGGAACCTACCTCAATATTATAAAAGCCATATATGACAAACCCACAGCCAATAGGCAACAGGGAAAAATTGAACGCATTACCCCTTAGAACTGGAACCAGACAAGGTTGCCCGCTGTCACCACTTCTATTCAACATAGCACCACAGGTAGTCCATTCAACATAAGAAGTCCTAGCCAGAGCAATCAGGCAAGAGAAGGAAATCAAGGGTATCCAAATGGGGAAAGAAGAGGTCAAACTACTGTTCCTTGCAATGATATGATCTCATATCTAGAAAACCCCAAAAGTTCTGCCAAGAGACTCCTGGAACTAACTGATAAATAAATTCAGCAAAGTCTCAGGTTACAAAATCAACATACACAAATCAGAAGCATTCTTATATACCAATACATCAAAGACTCAATACCTTTCACAATAGCAACAAAGAAAATAAAATACCTAGGAATATATCTAGGTATGTAGGAAAGAACTCCACAGGGAGAACTATGAAACACTGAAGAAGGAAATCGTAGATGATGTGAACAAATGGAAATCAAGCAGGTGGGAGCGTGGAAGAGCGGATGGGTAAATTCACACCTAACGATGCACACTCTCTGAGTGATGGGCACAGTTATAACATTGACTCAAATTGTACAAAAGCAATACATGTAATCAAAATGTTTGTACCCCTGTAATATTGTGAAGTTAAGAAAAAAAGAGATTCAATTGTGCAGAAGTATTATTACTTTGCTATGAGAAACACTATGAAGTTAATTAGTTTTCACATTTAGGGGAAAAGCAGCATCCAGTGCTATTAATTAACCCTGCTTGTAAGGCCAGGCAGTTGGTGGAGACTCTGCAGGAGGCCTGTGGACACTCAGCAGAGGGCTGGGGTGGGCCCCGGGCCTCGGTGCTGGCTGAATATCACACTCCAGGAACAAGTTTGGCCCTGTCTCTTTTCTGCTTAATATCTGCTTCTGTGCGTGAACTGAAAAATTAAAAGGTGCCCTTTTAATGATGAGATCACATTGGAAAATGTGTTCAACAGGCTGGAAGACTAAATTAAAGAGATAAGATAAAACATAAAATAAGAATAAATCAAAGGTCCTGAATTTCTACTGTTTTTCTGGCTGGGCAGACCTTATTTGAAGTATTGCATTCAGTTTTGCTGCATTTTGAGAGTATGCAGTATGGGAGACACCAAGGACTTTAACATTGGAACCTCCCCTCTCTCAATATGTAATT